TTTCTTTGTTAATTTATTTAGCTCATCATTTTATTTTTGAATTTTTTACTTTTATTATTAATTAATTAATTAATCTTATTATTTCATCTTTTTTCTTCAATTTTTCCTTCTCATTAACTATTTTATGTTATATTTTTTCTTCAATATTTAAAAAGTGGTAAATAAATTGGTGACGAAGGTGCATCAGGCTTAGGTTCTGGTTTAGCAAATTGCATTAATCTCTCAAATTTGACACTTAACCTTCGGTAAAAACAGTTTATTTGTTTTGGATTATGATATTTTGAATTATAAAAACTAATTAAAAACAATAAAGCTCTTTTTTCTTTTTCTTTTTATTGTGCTTGCTTTTTTTTGTTCTTTATTTGTTAATTTATTTAGCTCATCATTTTATTTTCAAATTTTTTACTTTTATTATTAATTAATTAATCTTATTATTTCATCTTTTTTCTTCATTTTTTCCTTCTCATTTACTATTTTATGATATATTTTTTCTTCAATATTTAAAAAGGGATAATTAAATTGGTGCAATGGGTGCATCAGGCTTAGGTTCTGGTTTAGCAAATTGCATTAATCTATCAAATTTGACACTTGAACTTATGTAAAAACAGTTTATTTGTTTTGGATTGTGATATTTTGAATTATAAAAACTAATTAAAAACAATAAAGCTCTTTTTTCTTTTTCTTTTTATTGAGCTTGCTTTTTTTTGTTCTTTCTTTCTTTGTTAATATATTTAGCTCATCATTTTATTTTCAAATTTTTTACTTTTATTATTAATTAATTAATATTATTATTTCATCTTTTTTCATCAATTTTTCCTTCTCATTAACTATTTTATGATATATTTTTTCTTCAATATTTAAAAAGTTGGAATTAAATTGGTGACGAAGGTGCATCAGGCTTAGGTTCTGGTTTAGCAAATTGCATTAATCTCTCAAATTTGACACTTAAACTTTAGTAAAATCAGTTTATTTGTTTTGGATTGTGATATTTTGAATTATATAAACTAATTAAAAACAATAAAGCTCTTTTTTCTTTTTCTTTTTATTGTGCTTGCTTTTTTTTGTTCTTTCTTTGTTAATTTATTTAGCTCATCCTTTTATTTTCAAATTTTTTACTTTTATTATTAATTAATTAATATTATTATTTCATCTTTTTTTTTCATTTTTTCCTTCTCATTTACTATTTTATGATATATTTTTTCTTCAATATTTAAAAAGGGATAATGATATTGGTGATGAAGGTGCATCAGACTTAGGTTCTGGTTTAGCAAATTGCATTAATCTCTCAAATTTGACACTTAACCTTCTGTAAAAACAGTTTATTTGTTTTGGATTATGATATTTTGAATTATAAAAATTAATTAAAAATAATAAAGCTCTTTTTTCTTTTTCTTTTTATTGTACTTACTTTTTTTTGTTTTTCTTTGTTAATTTATTTAGCTCATCCTTTAATTTTTGAATTTTTTACTTTTATTACTAATTAATTAATTAATTAATCTTATTATTTTATCTTTTTTCTTCATTTTTTCCTTCTCATTTACTATTTTATGTTATATTTTTTCTTCAATATTTAAAAAGTTACAATAAAATTGATGCAATGGGTGCATCAGGCTTAGGTTCTGGTTTAGCAAATTGCATTAATCTCTCAAATTTGACACTTGAACTTAGGTAAAAACAGTTTATTTGTTTTGGATTGTGATATTTTAAATTATAAAAATTAATTAAAAATAATAAAGCTCTTTTTTCTTTTTCTTTTTATTGTGCTTGCTTTTTTTTGTTTTTTTTTTGTTAATTTATTTAGCTAATGCTTTTATTTTCAAATTTTTTACTTTTATTATTAATTAATTAATCTTATTATTTCATCTTTTTTCTTCATTTTTTCCTTCTCATTTACTATTTTATGATATATTTTTTCTTCAATATTTAAAAAGGGAAAATCATATTGGTGATGAAGGTGCATCAGACTTAGGTTCTGGTTTAGCAAATTGCATTAATCTCTCAAATTTGACACTTGAACTTAGGTAAAAACAGTTTATTTGTTTTTGATATTTTGAATTATAAAAACTAATTAAAAACAATAAAGCTCTTTTTTCTTTTTCTTTTTATTGTGCTTGCTTTTTTTTGTTCTTTCTTTTTTTGTTAATTTATTTAGCTCATGCTTTTATTTTCAAATTTTTTACTTTTATTATTAATTTATTAATAAATCTTTTTATTTCATATTTTTTCCTTCTAATTAACTATTTAATAATATTTTTTTATCTTCAATATTTAAAAAGGGATAATCATATTGGTGACAAAGGTGCATCAGGCTTAGGTTCTGGTTTAGCAAATTGCATTAATCTCTCAAATTTGACACTTGACCTTTAGTAAAAACAGTTTATTTGTTTTGGATTGTGATATTTTGAATAATAAAAGCTAATTAAAAAAAATAAAACTCTTTGAATTTATTTGATAGCTTTTATTTAATTTATTTTTTTATCATTATTATACCACTAATTTTATTTTATTTATTAATTTAAGAAATATTTTTTAATTTAAAAGTTTATTCTATTTTGATATTTATTTAAAATTTACATAAATTTATTATAAAGTTTTAACAAAATCAATGAATCATAAAAATTCAAAGTTATAAGCTAGTGTCTTAAATCAAAAAGATTAGTTGTCTTTAAAAAAATATTCTGATTATAAAGAAATCACGAAAAAAGGATGAATAAATATTAAATGTTTGAATAATATTATATAATATTTTGAAAAGTTTTTTTTAATCTAAAATATAAATAAATAGATAGATTTTATTATTGATTTACATTTATAAATATCGTTCATATTTATTTTTATAAGTAAATTAATTATTTATATAAAATAAAAAAATTAAATTTATTTAAATTAATTATTCCTCTTAAGGAACCCTATAGTTTCTCCAAAAACGATCAAATAATTTGAAACTTTTTGTGTTATACTATCGCTATTTGCAGCAATTTTTTCTGTAGTTGAGGAGCTACATGTTTTTTTTAATTAAAAAATAAATAAATTAAATTATTTTTAAATTTTGTATTATTTTATATTTATTTGTTAACTTTTAAATTTAAAATAATTAATTTAAATTTAAATTTTGTTTTATATAAATTAATAAATAAAATATAAATTTATTGATAATTAATTTTATGTTGTTTTTCTTTTTCTTATTTTATTTAATTAAATATTATTTAATTTATATATTAATAGATTGTGAAATCTATCATTATATTAATAATTTATTTTTAAATTCATAGTTTGTTTTTTTGTTAAAATTATTATAATTTCTTATTATCTGTTATTAGGATTTTTGACGTTAATACATTTTATTATATTAAAATTAATCCTAAAAAAATACAAAACATACAAATACTAAATTTGGTGATATAAGAAAATCCTAACAGCAACTACCATACCAATATGATTGATTGATGGATAATATTTAAGATTAAAATATAACTGGCATATAAAATCTTGGTATTTATATAATTTAATAATATATAAAAAAAACACTTAAAGTCACAAATTATTTGATCGTTTTGGAGAAGCCGAGGATTTGCTTAAGAGGAATTAATTTATTGAAGTAAATTTAATTTTTAAATTTTATTATTTTTTATAGATAATTTTTTTACTTTCAAAAATATGAATGATATTTATAAATATAAAATCTATAATAAAATCTATCATCTATTTTTATTTTAGGTTAAATAAACTTTTTCAAAATATTATAAAATAAAATATATAATATTATTCAAACATTTTATACTTATTAATTCTTTTTTAGTTAGTTATTTATCAGAAGAATGATTTTTTAAAGACAACTAATCTTTTTGATTTAAGACACTTGCTTTTTACTTTTAATTTTTACGATACATTCATTGAGCTAAAAATTTAATAATAAATTAGTGTAAATTTTAAATAAATATTTAAATAGAATAAACTTTTAAATTATAAATTATTTCTAAAATTAATAAATAATAAACATTTGTGGAATAAAAAAGATAAAAAAATAAATCAAATAAAGTCTATCAAATAAATTCAAAAAGCTTTTTTGTTTAATATTTATTTTTATAGTTTAAAATATCACAATCCAAAACAAATAAACTTTTTTTACGGAAGGTCAAGTGTCAAATTTGAGAGATTAATGCACTTTCTTAAACCAGAACTTAAGCCTGATGCACCTATTACACCAATTTAATTTCCACTTTTTCAATATTGAAGAAAAAATATATCATTAAATAGTTAATTAGAAGGAAAAAATGAAGAAAAAATATGAAATAATAAATAAGATTAATTAATTAATAATAAAAGCAAAAGTTTAAAAATAAAATGATGAGTTAAATTAGCATAGAAAGAACAAAAAAAAGCAAGCACAATAAAAAGAAAAAAGAGCTTTTTCGTTTTTAATTAGTTTTTATAATTTAAAATATCACAATCCAAAACAAGTAAACTGTTTTTACCGAAGATCAAGTGCCAAATTTGAGAGATTAATGCATTTTGCTAAAGCAGAACCTAAGTCTGATGCACCCATGGCACCAATTTTATTTTCACTTTTTAAATATTGAAGAAAAAATATATCATTAAATAGTTAATTAGTACGAAAAAATGAAGAAAAGATATGAAATAATAAGATTAATTAATTAATAATAAAATTAAAAGCTGAAAATAGAATGATGACTTAAATTAACAAAGAAAGAACAAAAAAAAAGCATAATAAAAAGAAAAAGAAAAAAAAGCTTTATTGTTTTTCATTATTTTTTATAATTTAAAATATATCACAATCCAAAACAAATAAGCTATTTTTACTAAAGGTCAAGTGTCAAATTTGAGAGATTAATGCATTTTGCTAAACCAGAACCTAAGCCTGATGCACCTTCATCACCAATATCATTTCTACTTTTTAAATATTGAAGAAAAATATATCATTAAATAGTTAATAAGAAGGAAAAAACGAAGTTAAATTAACAAAGAAATAACAAAAAAAAAAATCATAAAAAGAAGAAAAAAAAAAATTTTTTTGTTTTTATTTAGTTTTTATAATAAAAAATATATCACAATCCAAAACAAATAAGCTATTTTTACTAAAGGTCAAGTGTCAAATTTGAGAGATTAATGCATTTTGCTAAAGCAGAACCTAAGCCTGATATACCTTCATCACCAATATCATTACTACTTTTTAAATATTGAAGAAAAATATATCATTAAATAGTTAATTAGAAAATAAAATTATGGATGACTTAAATATACAAAGAAAGAAAAAAAAAAGCAAGCACAATAAAAAGAAGAGCTTTATTGCTTTTAATTAGTTTTTATAATTAAAAATATATCACAATCGAAAACAAATAAACTATTTTTACTAAAGGTTAAGTGTCAAATTTGAGAGATTAATGCATTCATGAAACTAATGAAACTAACGAAACTCACGAAACTCACGAAACTACATGGAGTGAAGTTGATACTATATATAATATTTGAATGACAAAAAAATATATAAAATAAAGTAAAATAAATTTTTTATTTTGCCATTAAAAGCTTTATCTAGACCTATTGACCCTAAATTAATGTGATTGTAAAGTATCTCACGATCTACAAATCAGATGTATAATGACCTAAATGGTTTTAATTATTAATTTTGTATTTAAATGTGTTTTATACACATTTAAATACAAAATAAAATCAATAATACAAATCAATATATATATAAATATGATAAAAATTAATTTTAAGTTGTATTCTGAGTGCATTTTTATGTGCGAGTATTTCTATTCTATTCTATCGCCAATATCATTTCTACTTTTTAAATATTGAAGAAAAAGTATATTATTAAATAGTTAATTAGAAGGAAAAAATGAAGAAAAAATATGAAATAATAAGATTAATTCATAATAAAAGAAAAAATTTAAAAATAAAATGATGAGTTAAATTAACAAAGAACAAAAAAAAAAAGCACAATAAAAAGAAAAAGCTTTATTATTTTTAATTAGTTATTATAATTAAAAATATATCACAATCCAAAGCAAATAAACTATTTTTACTAAAGGCCAAGTGTCAAATTAGAGAGATTAATGCATTTTGCTAAAGCAGAACCTAAGCCTGATGCACCCATTCCACCAATTTAATTTTCACTTTTTAAATATTGATGAAGAATATATCACAATCCAAAACAAATAAACTATTTTTACTAAAGGTAAAGTTTCAAATTTGAGAGATTAATGCATTTTGCTAAACCAGAACCTAAGCCTGATGCACCCATTGCACCAATTTAATTGTAACTTTTTAAATATAGATGAAAAAGTATATCATTAAATAGTTAATTAGAAGGAAAAAATGAAGAAAAAATAATATTATTTAATTAATAATAAAAGCAAAAGTTTAAAAATAAAATGATGAGTTAATTAACAAATAAAGTAAGAACAAAAAAAAAGCAAGCACAAAAAAAAGAAAAAGAAAAAAGAGCTTTATTGCTTTTAATTAGTTTTTATAATTAAAAATTTTTCACAATCTAAAACAAATAAATTGTTTTTACTGAAGGTCAATAGACAAATTTGAGAGATTAATGCAATTTGCTAAAGCAGAACCTAAGTCTGATGCACCCTTTGCACCTATTTTATTTTCACTTTTTTAATTTTGAAGAAAAAATATATCATTAAATAGTTAATTAGAACGAAAAAATGAAGAAAAAATATGAAATAATAAGATTAATTAATTAATAATTAAAGCAAAAGTTGAAAATAAAATAATGAGTTAAATTAATAAAAAAATAACAAAAAAAAAGCAATCACAATAAAAATAAAAAGAGTTTATTGGTTTTAATTAGTATTTTATAATCAAAAATTTTTCACAATCTAAAACAAATAAACTGTTTTTTACTAAAGATTAAGTGTCAAATTTGAGAGATTAATGCAATTTGCTAAGGCAGAACCTAAGCCTGATGCGCCTTCATCACCAATTTAAAGAAGGGCTAAGCGACTCGAGTGGGCGAGTCGGAGGGTCTTAGCAGTGATATCGGGGGTTCGAATCCTATACCGCCCCCTTTATTTCGAAAAATTCCATGTAATATTTTCTTTGCAGATGGGTACATAAAAGTATCGAATTCGACATATCACCCCCCTACCTATATCCCCCACTTATATATTTATAAATCTGATTTTTATTAAAAAATAAAAAACACTACTTATTACATTTTACTCTGTTAGGATTAAATTAATATAAATAATTTTTTAAAATGTTATTTTTAATTCAGATATTTTGTTCATAATATTATGAGATATTAACAATTAAGTAAGAAATAAATAAATAAACTCAACAATTATTTTTGTATTTTTAGTATTTAATAATATTTTGAAGTATTTAATTAATTTTTTTGATATAATATAATACATTTATTTTTGATAATAAATAGTAAAAGTGTTTATCAAAAATATATTAATTTTTTCATATATGTTTACATTCATCTTTTGATTTATTTTATATTAAAATAGTTAGTGGATTACTTTAATGTTGCATTTTAAGTATAAATTGTATTATTTTTTAGTTATTTCTTGTCTTATTAACAGTTTTGTGTAATTTAAAATAAGCATCATTCATCTATTTAGAATATATTGCAAATTTAATCAACTTTTAAAAATTATTTTTTCTTTCGTTTTTTGCAGTGACTTTCTTGCAGTCATAATCATTTTCATAGCTATTAATGAATCGCTTTAACCTTTTCCATTTTCAAATTCTCATCTAGCGCTTTTTCTGGTAATTTCACCCCTTTTTAAGATTTAATATAAAAAAATGCATTTAAATTGACAATATTCAAATAAATTTGTTGATGATACTATGAGATATTAACAATTGAAGTAAGAAACAAATAAACTCAACAACTATTTTTGTATTTTTAGTATTTAATAATATTTTGAAGTATTTAATTAGTTTTTTAATGTTTTTTGATATAAGAGTTAAATGTAATACAATTATTTTGGATAATAAATAGTAAAAGTGTTTATTTATAAATACATTAATTTTTTCATGCATATTTACATATATCTTTTGATTTATTATATATTAAAATAGTTAGTGGATTAATTTAATGTTGCATTTTAAGTATAAATCATAATATTTTTCAGTTATTTCTTGTCTCATCAACAGTTTGGTGCAATTTAAAATAAGCATCATTCATCTATTTAGAATAAATAGTAAGTTTACGCTAAAATTAACTTTTAAAAATTACTTTTTCTTTTGTTTTTTGCAGTGACTCTCTTGTAGTCATAATCATTTTCATAGCTATTAATGGATCGCTTTCACTTTTTCCAATTTCAAATTCTCTTCTAGCGCTTTTTCTGATAATTTCACCCCTTTTTAAGATGTAATATAAAAAAAGCAAATTAAAATCGAAAATATTCATCAATATAATTTTATTTTTAATGTTTCTGGATGATCAATTAAGTAATTAATTACCAATTTTCTCCTTTTGTATTATTCCAATAAAAATAATTTGAAAATTTAAGAATCTCTCTATATAATTTCAGGGCTTCTTTATTTGGTGGCATTTTTTTGGATAAAATCATATGCTCAATAGGCTTTGATAATATTTCTTCTAACATCTTTTTACCAGCTGCACTCATTTCCGCTAATTACTTTTTTTTTAAGCTAATTTATAAACAGATATAATTGATGTGAATGAATGAATATAAAAGTATATATATAGATATATATTATGCATTATTTATATGTTATTATCAAAGAAAATTCTGAGATATTAATAAGAAAATTATATAGAACCTCAGTAGAAATATTCATTTATTTATAATAATTTTTTGATAAAAGCAAATTTATCTAAAAAAGTAATCAAATTAATTCTAAAAAAAATAAATTTATTTCAATTAAAAAAAAATATTTTTAATTTGATTTTTTAAATTAGAAAATTCGAATTTTATTATAAAGATATTTAATCGAAATCATTTGTTTATTTTTTTTCAAACAAAACTAGCAATTAAAAATGAATAGAATTTTTATGATATAAAAAAGACAAATAAATAAAAAAATAAACAAAGAGAAAAATAAATTTAATTTATTTAAGAAGATAAAATAAATTATGATTATTTTAAATTAGTTTTTCGTGTAAATTAATTTTTTAAATTTAAAAAGATTTGGTTTGTGAGTCATAAGTTGAAATGAATCTTTTAAGTAGATTTTTGAATTAATTTATTAAAAATATTTGGCAGAAATGAGATGAAAGTTCTATTTGTTTCTAAAAGAAAAGACCAATGAAAAAAATAGTTGTTTAAAGCATTGAAATATCATAAAAGCTAAAATTTTATATTCTTTGTTTAATCTTAATGCATATTTGCAAGCACTAAAATACTAAATAAATGAACAAATAATTTATTGTGTTTTTGCTTGTTAATTAATTATCTTGTTTGTTTGTTAATTGGTTTTTAATGCAAAAATTGGAAAGAAATACTAATAAATGAGTAGGAATAATATTCAGTTTTGAATAAATTTTCAAGTCAAAAATAAGAAAGATCTATAATTAATAAATTAATTTATTAATCAATTAAATAATAATTATTTATAAAGGAATTATATATATAGATAGTATAGTTTGAACAATAGAGGTTAGATAGACAATAATAGTATTTGCTAATCCAATTTAGTAGCTAGCCAATTTAATTCTACTAGAAGCCAATTATTTCATACAACCATTTATACTCACTTAGATTGCAAACACAAAATTAAAATAGCAAACTAAATAGTCAATTTATTGAGAATTTTCTGATTAAATGTTAGCATTTATTTCTAAGCAAAGTTCATACGGAGTAACAAATCGTGTTATTCATAGCTATAAGCAATTACTCTCCAACACTAGCAATAGTTGCATATATAGATCTAATCAAATATCTTTTAATGGAGCAACTTCATTTGTCAATTAATAAAAATACTTGCATGCAAATCTAAATCAAAATGTGAAAATGTTTGATGTTTAGCACAATTTATTTAATGGCTCTGTCAAATAAACAAATGAGCCCGCTACAACTTCAAACAATCAAACTCTTTAACAGCTTTTCGAATAAGTCAAACCAAAAACTCTTTTTGAAAAGGAAAAGCAATAGTAAGAGCTTTATCATTTATAATATAAGCACATTCGCAAGGAGTATCTCATCGAAGGTGCTCGCGCTTCTCAAATTTTAATTCAATTAGATGGCAATCTGCTTGAGGATTGCTGCTAAATTTTCTTTAATGAATTCTTAAGCAACAGAGAAAAAGTTCCAAGCAAAATTTCTTTGGCTATTGAAAAGTGTTATAATGAAAAACTAGAACGCTTCATCACAGAAGAAGAAAGAATCATTCGTGATGATCCCTATAAAGTAATCAACTATTTATTTATTTATTTACTAACTTACTTAATTCTTTTTTAAAGTAATTCTACCAAGGCTTAATCTCAAATTTTCCAAACAAATCAATAAAAAAAATAACAAATAAATATGGTTAATACTTCATTTAATATCTTAAAATTACATAATCAATAGCATTACTCTAAATTTTCATCCCCCTCTTTAATTTAAAATGAAAGAAAATATTTAAAACCTATTGATTATAAAATAAAAATGATTTTGAAAGCCGAGAAGGGAATGAAAAGAGGAAAAAATGGGTTATATAAATTATGTTTAATAAAATAAAAATAGATAGCAGAGAGATCTCAGGAGATATTTAAAAGCTTGAAAATAATATTAGAAATAATGGATAAAGGAAATAAGGGATTATTGACAGGCGATTTGCATCCTAAATTAATAGATGGATGCAGCAAGGTATTTCCAGAAACTCTAAAAAAGCTTTAGGAGTTTTAGCATTAGAATATCGATGGAGGCAGTAGCTTGTCATTTGAATAGATTGTAGATAGCATGTACAACACAATTTCTGTTTATGCTTTTTAGGAAATGTTTAAACTGCCTTTATATGGAATTAAATATCCTGATTTAGAAAATAAAAGAAATTTGTTTGAGAGACAGCTTATCTTGGAATAGGAATCTTAGTCTTAGGCAGTCAATAAGTTCTTGAAGGTTTACGAAGATTTGAATAAGTTTGGGTTGGCTGTCAATATAGGATTTGCAAAAAGATATATTATGAATTGGTTTCCTAATTTGTGCAAGGTCATTAAAGAAGAGTAGCAACAGTGTTTATTAGGAGAACTAAAGGGAGAAAGAAAATATTATGCAACATATTTGACAAAGCTTTCTGCAGAGAGAATAGCTATTTTGAGTTTAACTGAGTTGATGAAGCAGATTTTGCGTATTTCCAATAAATTCAAAGAAAGCGCTGAGAACATGGAAAACACAATCGTTGATTGCAGCATTGTTTCTAAAGCCATTTTTTCATCTATTGGTGAAGCCGTAAATTTGCAATACATTTATGAGTAAGAAGAGAAGCTGAATAAAGAAAAGGAAAAGAAAGATCTCGAAAGTTTGGTTGAGAAGATAAATTCTAATAACACTTCTAACTCTTCTGAAGAGGAAGTCACTCAACGTGCTAAAAAGTATCTTGCTGACAAAACAAAGGAAGCCAATTAAAAGATCATGGAGAGTCTTTACAAAAAGAAGAATTCCACTTCTAAATTGAATTATTAAGAAATAGGAATTCCCAAGACCATCTAGCTTAAGATCGGCTCTCTCTTAATTTATTTGATGAAAGAGACTATTCAAATAAGAAATGAATAGAATTTCTGGATTCATTTGCTTGTTCCTTCCTACAAAAAGTCAAAGAATAATGATGGTTATGTTGGTGTTATCAATATTAATGAAGACTTTATCATTTCTCTCTATGAATAGTCAGAAAAGAGTGAGTCTCCTTTCATGCATCTAGAAAGATGTCTGCCAATGATCTACAAACCTGCTCCTTGGTAAGACTACGAAATTGGAGGATATTACTAACGTCCCACAAATCTCATGCGTATCCACGAATCTCCAATTTAAGAAAAAGTTTTATCCTACTCTGATCTCTCTAAAATGTACAACATCTTAAACACAGTCAGTCAGACAGCTTGGAGAATTAACAAAAAAGTAAAAATTAATTTTTATTCATTTAAATAAAATAAAAAAACATAGAAATTTTATTCATTTTAATTTGTTATTTAAAGGTTTTTGATGTCATGGAAAAAATTTGGGAAGAAGGTGGTGGCTAAGGTGAAATTCCTCGCCGTTTTTATGATTACAAAGACTATGTTTATCAATATTAACTCAAGGAGTGCAAGAATAGAGATGAATAATAAAGACTGATGAAGAAAATTTAGGAACAAAGAGATATGCATTCAATGAGAAGTGATTTCTAACTCAAAATTAATGTTGCAAAGGCATTCAGAAACATAGAAAAGATTTATTTCCCTCATAATGTCGATTTCAGAGGTCGTATTTATCCTATCCCTCCTCATTTGAATCACATGGGTGCAGATATTTCTCGTGGTCTCCTCGAGTATTCAGAGAGCAAGAAAATTGGAAAAACCGGCTGGTATTGGCTTAAGGTTCATCTTTCCAATTTACTTGGTTAGGACAAGCTTTCCTTCCCCGAAAGAGTCGCATTTGCTGAATCTTAATTTGAAAACGTAAAAAGATGGGCTTCCGATCCATTGAAACACAGAGAATGGATTCAAGTCGAAGACGCATGGTAATTTCTAAATAATTTGTTTTTAAATGAAAAATAATTTGAATGAATAACTTAAAGGTAAGCTCTTGCTACAATTTTCGATGTAGCTGAAGCACTCAAGCTAGAAAACCCAGAAGATTACATTTCTCACTTGCACGTTCACATGGATGGTTCATGTAACGGTCTACAGCATTATGCAGCTATTGGTAGAGATAAAGATGGTGCCATGCAGGTAAAAAAAGAACCAAATATATTCATAAAATTTATTAAAAAATAAAATTAAAAAGGTTAATCTGATGAATGCTTAAAAGCCAGGTGATTTGTACAGTCACGTAGCAAGAATGGTCGAACAAAGAGTAGGAAAAGATGCAAATGATGACTTAGCTAAGTATAATGCAATCGCTAAAAAGCTATCTGGTAACATCAAGAGAAAAGTAGTTAAATAAACAGTTATGACATCAGTCTACGGTGTCACCTTCGTAGGTGCAAGAAAGTAGATTTATAAGCAATTAAGAGATAAAGATTTCCTAACAGAAGAAGAAGCCTATGAAGCATCTTATTACTTAGCCCAAACAACTCTAGACTGTATTAAAGATCTTTTCAGTTCTGCTCACTACATCAAAAAGTGGTTAATTAACTGTGCAGGTCTCATTGCAAACACATCTAATCCCGTCAGTTGGATCACTCCTATGGGGTAATTCTTTTGTTAAAAATAAATAAATAAATACACCCCAAAAAAAATGTCTTCATTTAAATAACTTCTCCATAAAAATCAAGAATTAGTTTCTAATAAATCAAAAGAAAAATTCAAAAAAAGATTTTTTTAAATGCAAAATAAAAAAATTTTTAAATGAATTCCAAGAAATATGAACAAATAGCTTTTAAATAAAATAATTTGTTAAGTAACTAATTTACTAATTAGAGCAAATTAAAAGAATAAATTAATTTTAATTAAACAATAAATAATAAATATCTTACTATGAAAGCAATTCAATTAATAAACATCTAATTTAAGACAATTAATTATTAAACAGAATCTTATTTTTAAGAAAATTAATTATTAAGCATCTATTTTTTAAAGCAATTTATTAATAATCATCTAATTTTTAAGACTGATAAATAAATAATCAAGATACATCTAATTTTGATTACAACTAATTAATAAATAACTAATTATTACAAAAAGTAAATCAATTTGGTATTTAACAATAAATATCTTATTATGAAAGCAATTAATATCAAATTTTAATACAATTAATTATTAAACAGTATCATCTAATTTTTAAGGAAATAAACATCTAATTTTTAAAGCAATAAAATAGCAAAATAATTTTTAATACTTTTAAAAATTCAACATCTAATTTTTAAAACAATAAATTAATTTTTAAATAAAATAATTAAAAAAATTATTTTTAAGGAATTATTTAATAAAGAGTATATTTTCAAAGCAATTAATTAAATACTTGTCTAGTTTTTAAAGAAATTATCACTAAAAAATATTAATTCAAAATTAATTTTAGAATATTTAAAAAAATATTTTTTCAACACTTTTAACATTTTAAACTTTGTTAAAATTAAAATTAATTTTTTTTTGCAAAATAAAAATTTACTTAAAACAAATAATGAAATAAACTCTCTTTAATAAATTATAGCAAAAAATAATTTATTTTATTTTAAAATTTAATATGGAGATTGATATATTTTTTATTTTAAAAATACATTTTATTTTTTAATAAATTGTTTTTAAAATTTAAATAAAATATTTAGCTTGCCTGTTGTTCAACCTTATAGATCAAAGGGACAATTAGATGTGATTAACACTGTGATACAAAAAATAGCAGTAGAACAAGATTCAGATAGAGTAAATAAATAAAATTTAGATAATTTTAACAGTTATTAATGAGTTTTATTATAAATGTTATTAGCTACCCATAAATAAGTCAAAATAAAGATCTGCCTTCCCTCCCAATTATATTCACTCTCTCGATTCTACTCACTTGATGTACACCGCTTTAGAATGTATCAAACGGTATTACTTTAAATGATTAAATTATAATTCTACTTAGCTAATTTGTTATCATTTATCTATAAATAGTGGCATGCATTTTGCAGCTGTTCACGATTCTTATTGGACTCACGCCTGCGATATTGAAGAAATGCACAAAATTTTGAGAGAACAAGTAAAATAATCATATTTTTATCGAATTCTAATCAAATTTAATAAATAAATAGTTCGTTAAATTGCACAGCCAACCTCTGCTTGAAGACTTAAAAGCATCCTTCGAAAGAAGATATCCAAACATAGAATTCCCAGAGATTCCAAACAGAGTAAAAAAGCTTATTAAAGTGAGACAATAAATGGAAATTAATGATTATTTAAATAAATAAATTAATAGGGACTACTCGATTTAGAAGAAGTTAAAAAGAGTACTTATTTCTTTTGTTGATAGAAAAACCAATAAATTTCAATAAATTTAAACAACATAAATCAATAATAAAAATTACAAATACTCAATTCACACCACCAAATCTTAATTCATTCATTCATTAATCCATCATTAAAATCATTCATTAATTATCACCATTAAAAACATAATCTTCCACATAATATTTAAATGGCGCTCTTCTTAAATCTATAAATCTATCTCAATTAACAGTTCTTATAATAAATAATAAATCAAAATATTATTAAATTAACTAAATAAATCAATAAATAAATACTTTGTATATTTCTATCTTTTTCTTTATTAATTCGTTCATTCGTTTTTTATTAATAAACTAGCTAATATTTGTCTTAACTTAAAATAATTAATTAATTAATTAACTAACTAACAAATGATTAAAGAAACAATTTTGATTAAAAGGGGAAGAAATATCTTTTGAAATTTTATTTTTTTGATTAAATTTGAATTTAAGAAAGAAATTTGAAAGAAGAAAAGAGAGGGGAAAAAAAGAAAAAGAAGTAATAATTTATTAATTAAAAAAAATCAATAGATAAGAAAAAATCTTTGCAAAAAAGAAAATCACTATTGAAAATAAATTCTTTTTCAACTACAAAAATTTCATTTCGCATCTGTACGATGGATACCGAGTAGATAGAGTGATCGAGGAGATAAAGAGAGCATTCAACATAATTTTATTTGTTTATCCGATTTATTTAAGGCAAACCAAGTTTTTTAAACCGCCCAAAAACACCTGTTAATACTATCATAATCCACTCCACTTAAATAAATAAATAAAATAGAATGCAACTCCTCACTCAAAAAACACTCTCACTCAGTCCTCTGTTGACATCAAGCGGATCTAAATGGTTCTCTCTTAGCACCTGAACTATATAAAAAGTATTTTTTGAACCATAGGAAACCACCCAGACGAGAGACTCAAACCAAAAAGAGAAAGAAAAAAGAAAAAACAAAATAAAATAAATCATTAAAAATAAATAAAATAAATAAATAAATGAAAGAAATTAAACAAATAAATCATCTTAAACAACTAAGAAAATATTAAAGCAAACTTAAAAACTAAACAGAAAAACACATAAGCAACAAATAAACAAACAAGCAAATAAACAAAGAAAAAAACAAACTAAGAAATAAAACAAATAAGAAAACTTAGCAAACAAATAAAACAAATAAATCAATGAATTAAGATAGATGAAAATAAATTAATAAAAGAAAATAAATAAATAAATCAAATAATATAAAAAAGAAAGTAAATAAATTCAAATAATAATTAAGAAAAATAATTAAATTTGAAGTGGGGAAAGGCATGCTGTATTTTTTTTTATTTAATTAAGTATTTTTACAAAATTTAATGTGAAATTAATTTTTGTTTTGTGGAATTTATTTGTTTCTTTGATTGATTAGTTTTTTTGTGGGAGAAATTAAATTCTGGAAAATCGATGAATTGAAAGATAATAAAAAAAAGCAAGCAATAAATTTGTTTTCAATGTTTTTATTTTAAGGTAAATTGAAATGTAAAAATAGATGAATAATTAATTCTTTTGAATGGGAATTATCATTTAAAACTGAGCTAGCTTGATATAAGAAATTATTTAAGTAAAATAAATGGAATAAACAAACAAAATTGCTGAATTTAGTAAAAAAACAAATGACTTTAACGCAAAATAAAAAATAATTTAAAATAATTTTAGAGCAATAAATTTTGCTTTAAAATGAAGAAGAGAAAATATTATTTAGAATTTAAAAGAAACATTTTAAGAATTTAGATGAAATAAATAAATAAAGGCTTTTTATAATTTTGGTAAAACCCACAAATTAATTTAGTAGATAGTTTCTGTCTTTAAATTTAATTAAATGAAAGTATTAATAAGTCATTTATTCATTCATACATTTACATAATTATAACTCTGTTAAAAAAATAGCATATATAATTGTATTGGTTCAAATTACTAAAATGAATCTTACAAATTAAAAATGCCTCGATCCCTAGAATTTCGACAATAATATTGATATTCTCATGAAGTAGGCAAAGAATAAAATCACTAGCAAGCTGGTATAGTAATTTCATATTACTACGCTTGATGAGCAGTGAGATACTTATTTTTTCCCTTCTTTCCATTCTATTTGTAATTTCTTTTCTATCAATCAATAATTTCATTATAAATAAGGGCTAGAAAATAACTCAATAAATTAACTTCTTCAAGTAGTTAATTCATTCATTCATAGAAAATGTTTATGAGTGAGAAAGATTTTATTAAAATAAAAATTTTACTTTAAATCAATCAAGACAAACAATTTGCTAGTTTAATTGTTTTATTGTTTATTTATTTGAACTTTCATGTTAAAATTTAACTATTAGCACCATTAAAAGTAATAAAGAAATTTAAAGATAGAGAAAGGTTTTGTTTGTTTTTTATTTATTTATTCATTCACTGGCTTTGATAATAAATAGTTCGATCTATTTTTATTATTTGCTTGTTTTTTTTGTTTTTCCTTTTCTATTTTTAGTTACTAAAATATTATTGGTTCTATGTGGCATTTGTATGTTTAAGTTTTATTTCATCTTATTTTGTTACTTAATTTTCGGTCAATTCTGAGACCATATAAACAATAATTGCATCAATTTTAGTTTAATACAGAAATGACAATCAGATAACTCATAAGATTTAGTGCTTGTTTCATTGGTTATTGGTTAGGACCAAATAAATTCTTTTGCTGCAAAAATGAATTTGATGTTTTATTGACCAGAAATAAAGAAAACTTTAATAGATTTTACTTAGTTAATTATTTTTTAATTGATTTATTGAATGAACGAATGAATGAATTATTTATTAATTGATTGTTTGATTGATTGATTAACTGCTCGCTAAATTTATACAATTAATAGCAAGTAGGTACTATTATATAAAATTAAATTATAAAAAACTTATCAAAACTTTCAAGTTTCTTTCTCTGCGCTGCTGAGAATGAATCATCTTGTACCTACTTTTTAAACGCAAGGTAATAGGCCTATGAATGTTTATGAATGGCATAACAGGCATGTAATTGATTGGCTAAAGGAGCACGATCTTTAGGACTACTAATCCATATTTGGTAAATTATTCATTAATCATTATTTACTAAAAAAATGGGTTTGTTTCTTTAAGCTTAGCAAGAAATTCCTTGCACTTTTGGGAAAGGCAAAATAAAAAGCTAATTTAGCTAATTGATAACTTTTAAAAAATAAAAGAAATGCAGAAAGTCAATGGAGAATAACTTCTTCTAACCACAGAAGAGAAGGCAATTCATGAATTTAAAATAGAAGATGATGAAGATAGAAAAATATTCATGCAAGGTAAATAAATAAATAAATGATTAAATTGTCTTAACAAAATTTTTAAGAAAATCTATGATTAAATAATGAAAAAACTTAAAAATTTTAGATCCAATTTTCTATTTGAATATTTTAAGTTCAAAAGATGTTTGTTTTGTTCATTTACTTAAACAAAAAAATATTACTCATAATAAAAGTAGAAAAAAAAAGGTTTATTAATTAGATTTTAATTAAATATTTAGAACTAGATCTTTTAAAAGAGTACCATGATTCCAGAAGAAAAGCAAATATGATAGAAGAAGCTGAAAAGCTACAAAAAGAAGCTTCCGAATATTTAGAAACTATTAGTGTAAACATACTAATTCACATTTTCACTATAATTAAATTAAGCAGTTCAAGAAGATATTTTATGCTTAAAAGCTAGACTATACACAAGCAGTTTCTAAAAATAATTAGAAGTTATTTCATATTTTTTTTGCAGTTTTGAAAAAATATTTTAGAAATCTATGAAAACTAAAATCAATTGCTAAATACTTTTTTCAAGAAATTTAAACAATTTAAATATCTAAATTCGAACGAACTAAACACAAGTATTTATTTATAGGATCAACTTAGAAGTTTAAATAAATAGAAGGGAAAAAATGATCTTATTTATTGAAATAAAAGGTTATGATTTTCCAAAATAATGATTTGAGACAGTATTTTATTAAAGATTGCTTGCTTTAGAGTTAATCTTAGTTGTATTTTGAAATATTTTTTATCTTTGGATAATCAACTTCTTAAAAATATGGATCCTTAATTCATTAATTCAGATAAAGAAATTTAAAGTGTTTAACATTCTTTATTTTTAATTTAATATTAATTAATTGAGGCAATATAAAATATTTTGCAATTTACCAAATAAAGTAAGCATTAAATTATGATTTTATAATAATAATAGCTCAGAATCAGATTGAATTTTAAGAAAAAATATTTAAGTTTTTAGCCTAATTTACAGAGCTATTTATTGTAGTAAATAAGCAAAAACGATGCTAAACTTTAAATAATTGAACAATATTGGAGATTAAGTAAAACCATGTTAAATAAAAACCATAAATAATAAGAGAAAATAGAAAATTTTAACTACTATTAAGTGAATATAAGCTATTCTATATTAATATTTTTATTTATTAACAAATAAAATTGGAATTCAGTTAGCTTTATTTAAGCATTTTGAAAGTTAATTGATAATAAATGGCTGCTTATTTGTTGGTTAGCATTATTTTAGCTAAATTTCATTAAGATAAAATAGAAAATTTTAACTACTATTAATGAATATATTCTATTTATTATTAAAATTTTTGTTTATTAACAAATGAAATTGGAATTCAGCTTTATTTAAGCATTTTCAAAATAAATAAATGATGAAATAAATGCTTTTTTTGTAAAATGTATTATTAGATGATGCCTATACATAATGGGATGAACGGAGGAGCTATTTGTGATGGGGAAATGGATCTTTTACCAACTGACAGTTCTATTTAACAATTCGAAGATAATGATAGTGCGACAAACAGGTTTTTGCTCGAGTAAGAGATTAAGATGATTGTGGGTTTATTACAACGAGCTGGAAGTGATAGGATAGATAATAGTGCTAATAACTTTAATGATACTTCTCAAAGATATGGAATGACTCTTTCCAAACCTTATATTTTAAGTTCTAATAACTTAGTTGTAAGCACTACTTCGATTTAATAACCCTAGGCTACTTCTACTGATTACTAGTCTTAATGGTACAATGAATCAATATAGATCAGTAAAATGAAAATTCCTCATTTTTTCGAACATCCTGTTTTTTCTAAAGATCATCAAGTCGAATAAAGTGAAAGAATAAGTGAGGCTTAATCTTACTAGGAAAATTTCTCTACATTACCCATAACAAATGAAGAGAAATTACAATCAATTGTAAATTAGTCTTTAATTATAAAGGACTGTTTAGACTTAGATAATCCATAATAATTTTAATTATACGAGCTGCTTTCTAGTGAAATATAAGTTGCAAATGAAGGAATAATCAGTCAAAGTTAGAGCAATCCTCATTCTAAAAGGAAGTTAGGTCTATTTAAATTTATGCCAGCATAGAAAAGCAGTAAACAAGAGCTTTCTTTTGCAAACCAACAAACAATTAATATAATTCCCAGCAATCTTAAGTGTAATTGGTCATTTAGGTCTCTAAATTCATCTTAAATAATAGCTCTACAAGTAATGAAAAGAGCAATTGTAATTGACGATACTTATATTATGGGCAATCACATAATAAACATAATGAGCGTTGAAATACAGTCTTAATAATAGTGCAAAGTTGCCCTTAAAATTAGCAGAATAAATAATTAAATTGCATTCCAAAAGTAAAATGTCTTCGTAAACACTGAAGGAATTACATTTGGCAAAAATAAAAAAACTTGCACCATATATCTTGAAAATGACAAAGAAGTAAGCTCTAATCACTGCAGAATGGTTTTCGATCCATAATTAAAAAGCACCTTTATAATTGATAACAGCTCTACAAACGGGTAAACTTTCTTTTTCAATCATTTTAAATTTATTCAAAAAAAATTATTTTTATTTTCTAAATTCAATTTTAATTTTTTATTTTTTATTCATTTTTTATTTGAATTTAAAATAATTCTCACTTTATTGAAAATTATTTTAAATTTATTCTTCAAATAAAAATAATGCTTTGATTATTAAAATAAATTAATTGCTACAATTTGATTACAATTGATTTTATTAGTAGCAATTGCTCAAGTAAAATTTATGACTAAAATCAATGCAATCAAAATAAATAATCAGAAATTGCTATTTGATTGAATAAAATGAGCAATATTATTTTAAATTTATTCTTAAAATGAAAATATAATGCTTGAATTATTAAAATAAATTAGTTGCTACATTTTGATTATTGATTTTATTAGTAGCAATTGCTCAAGTAAAATTTATGACTAAAATCAATGCAATGAAAATAAATAATCAGAAATCGCTTTTATATTAAATAAAATAAATGAGCAATAATATTTTAAATTGATTCTTAAAATGAAAATATAATGCTTGAATTATCAAAATAAATTAATTGATACATTTTGATTACAATTGATTTTATTAGTAGCAGTTGCTCTAGTAAAATTTATGACTAAAATCAATGCTATGAAAATAAATAATCAGAAATCGCTTTTTGATTAAATAAAATAAGAAAGAAAGAATTAATTTTTGTCTTAAAATTGTCAAAAGATTTGTTTGCTTAATAAATTAAACGGATTTTTGGTTATTTTTGTTGATAAATAATGAGAAAATAAAGATAATTTTAGTTTAGAGATGAATTAAGTTTTTTTAAATTTAATTTGATTTTTTAAATAAATAATTTATTATAATAATAATTAATAAAATTTTATAGAACTTGGATTCAAATTAAAGCAGGGAAGAATGAATGTTTAGGATAGAAGATGCATATCTAAATTGATTTAAAGAGAGACATTATGATATATGATTGCATTGATAATTATAATTTAGATGACGTTAGAAAAGAACTATAAAATAATTGTATTAGTTGCTTTAAAAATAACAAAAACACTAGAAATCTAAATACTTAAAAAATTGAATACTGCTTAGCTTGTGCTTAAATCCTCCTTTAGAAAGATTCATGGGCTTAAATATTATATTGAAAATATTTATTTCTCAGTTAAAATCTCTTGATCAAATAAAATTAACTATCAAAAAAACATAAATAAAAACAAATAGGTAGATTGATTGATTGATTGAAAAACAAGAAATTTAATTAAATGAATTATAAAATAATTAATTAAAAAAATAAATATATTTATTATAAGATAATAATCATTATTATTAAAATCGAATTCAAATAAAATTAATTTATAGATTTTTTGTAATTTATTTATTGAAATAAAAACTAATTAATTAATTAAATAATTATAAATAAAATTATTAAATAATTCCCTAAAAACTTTATAAAAAAACTTAATCAGATGAAAAACAAAAAAAAAATAAATAAATTCAATTTATTAAAAACAGAATACCAAATAATTTCTAAAATATTTTACCGAATACCAAATATACATTTTATTGGGTCTATAATTAAAATTAATTAATAACATATTTTGTTCAATTAAATGAAGCAACTAGTTCATTGTATTTATTTATTTGTTGGGATCAAAAGTAACTCATTTACTAAAATAATTTAAAATAGAATTAATTAAATAAGCAAGATAAATTAAAAAGAACAAACAATTTAATAAAATCTATTTTTTTAAATAACAAAAATGATAACAATTATTAATTACAAGTAAAATATAATAGAATTCAAAAAGAATTCTTTCTTATTTTTAATATATTAATTAATAACATATTTTGTTCAGTTAAATGAAGCAACTAGTTGTTTAAAAAATAACAAACAGCTAAATAAAATCAATATTTTTAAATAAAAAAAGAGATAGATAACAATTATTTATTATTTACAAGTAAAATAGAATAGAAATAAACAAATTAATTATTATTCTTAAAATATAAATTTTACTTTATAATTAATTAATCAGCTAGCTGGGTTTGAGTGAATGCATTAATTATATTATGTTTGTTTTTATGTATATATGTATTGCTTGCTGTTTAGATTGAAAATTTTTTGAATGCTTATTAATAGATAATTAGAAGAAAGATAAATAGTGATAAAGATTTATTATATATAATTCATATTGGCTGGATGAAAAGTAAAACGCACATGATTTCTTAATAATTGAAAAGAAAAAGTTTATTAAGAATTTAAATAAATTAATTGATTTATATAAGGAAATAAAGAGAGAAAAGAAGAATAAAATGAGTGGCGAGGAATAAAAGGATTACGAAGATATTAACGAACATGAGGAAGAGGAGGAAGAAGAAAACTTGGAAAAGATGCATCACGGCAATATGAACGAAGGGGAAGTGCAAAACAATTAAGTTTACAATCATCCCATCGATTCTAACGGCTACGATGGCTAGCAAGATAATGAAATTAATCAAAATAATATTGTAGATTAGATAAGTGAGGACATTGAAGAGAAGATTAAGGTGTTTGACGAATTCGTCAAGGGGAAATCGGAGGAACAAACACTGAATATTAGAATGCATTAATTAGCTTTAGCGAAGATTCTTGTTTTTACTCATGGAAAGAGTCATTTTAAGCTTGTAGAAGCTCATACTAAACTTGGTATTGCATATTTAAATTACAAGTGTTACGAGTAAGCTATTGATCATCTAACTATGGCATTGAAAAAGAATGGTAATTTGTTTGGAGAGATCAAGGACTCATAGGTTTATCATGCAGATATTTTGACTTAGTTGGGCAAGTGTTATCTTGAAGTTCAAAGTTATGAAGATGCTCTTGAGTTATTGACAAAAGCAAATGAATTATACAAAACAGTAAAAGGGGAAAATGATTTATCTTCAGTACCTACTTTGAATTGCATAGCTTAATGCTACACAAAGATGAAAGATTATGACAAGGCATAGGAAACAATTGCTCTCATTTACGACATTTAAAGCACTCACCACAGTCTTAGAAGCGAGCAAATAGCAATGACAATGGTTGAACATGCAAAAATTTTAGCATTGAGACAAGATTTCATTTAAGCAATTGAATATCAAAACAGAGCAATTGAAGTACTTATTGAAATAGAATACAACAGACCTGAATATGTAGCAGAATTATACCAAACTCTTAGCACCTATCAAGAAAAGGATGGTAAAGTTTCAGACTAGGTTGAGTCCCTTCAAAAAGTAAAGACTCTCTATAAAGAAATTTATGGTCCAACAGATAAAAAGGTTATAAAGGTAAAGCGTTAAATATCAATGATTCTGCTAAAGAACAACTAACACGACGCTGCTCTAGAAGAGCTCCAAGAAATCGAAGAGTTGGAGAGCAAAGTATATGGAGAAAATTCCGTCTAAGTAGCAAAGACTCTGCGTATTATAGGAACAATTAAAATTCTAACACAAGGAATAAACGAAGCCCAAAAGTATTTCTCAAAGGCCATGAAGATATTTGAAGAAAATGGCATGAAAAATTAAGTAAAAGAAATGAAGGAAAAGCTTAAAATGACAAAAGATATCAAAGAGAAAAAGGGCGTTGGTCTTAAACAAGGTGCTTACTACGAGTGAATCAAATGAAACCACTTTAAATTAATTATATTTATTCAACCTTTTATATATTCAAAATCATATCTGTATTCATTACAACAACTTAATAAGATTTAGCAATCATTTTCATTAAATCAAAGCCTATTTTATAATCATTTTTTAAATTTAATTTAAGCAAAATAGTCTTAAAATGAGCAACAAATAAAAACAATAAATTAATTAGCTGAAATGCGTATTAAATTATTAGTTTTTTTTATTTGTTTTGTAGAAAAATATTTTTTTATTACAAAATGTTAATAAAGTTTCACAATCATTCCAATTAAATCTAATGCATAAAATTGTTGATATTTTAGAATCATTTTTTTGAATGAATCAAAAAAAAAAATATTAAGTAAATAAATAAATAAACAAATAAATATCAATAAATTAAATCATTCAGATTAAATGTGTATAAATTTGTTTGTTTTTTATTTGCTCGTAGAAAATCATTTTTTTATTACAATTTTTTAATAAATTTTAACAATCATTCTATTTATATCAAATGCATAAAATATTTGATATTAAAGAATCATTTTTTAAATTGAATTTAATCACAAAAAGAAAAATAAGCAAATTATTGCTATTTTTTTATCATTTTTTATTAATTAAATTTAACAACAAAGAAAAAAATAAGCAAATAAACAAGCAAACAAACAAATAAGCAAAAAATTAATAACCTTAAAATGTAAACTTTTATAGATTTTTTTTTTTTCCCATTAAAAAATAACTTTTGTGTAACTTAAAAAATGTAACAAAATCATTTTAATTAAATCAAATACATAAAATTATTGCTATTTTTTTATCATTTTTTAAGTTAAATTTAACATCAAAGAAAAAAATAGGCAAATAAATAAATAAATAAACAAACAAAAATCAATCAGCTTAAATGAGAATGTATTTATAGGTATGTTTATTTGCTGAGTAGAAAAATCATTTTTTTCAGTACAATAATCATTTTTTTAAATTTAATTGAATCTCATTGAGAAAAATAAGTAAGTAAATTAGTAAATAAACAATTAAAAGTTAAAAAACTAAACCAATCAGCTTATATGTGTATAAATTTATTGATTTTTATATTTACCCAATTTTAGTATTACAAGAATTTAATAAAATCTTAAGATATTTAAAAAAATAAAACACATAAAATTATTGATATTCTGTAATCATTTTTTAAATGAAATTTAATTACAAAGAGAAAATTAAGTAAGCAAACAAATTAATATCGATAAATTAAATCAATCAGCTTAAATGCGTATAAATATATTTATTTATTTACTCAGTATTAAATAAATTTTGTATTAGACCAACTTATTATTTTTTAGAAGTATTTTACTGAAATTAAACTCATAAGATTATTGGTATTTTATAATAATTTTAAATTAAATAGAAAGAGAATTTTAAGTAAGCAAAGTAATTAAAACCATATAAATTAAATCAATCAGCATTAATGCGTTTTAATTTACTGATGTTTTTATTTGCTCAGTAAAGTCTTTATATTTTTTGATATTAATCTATTTATAAGATAGATATCAAACTATGATTTTAATCAAAATGATTTTGATTAAATTAAAAAATATTACTAAAGTATTGTCAAAAAAGATTAATTAGATATGTCTATGAAAATGTAAAATAAATGTGTAATTAAAATCAAATGCGCAAAAAATAAAAATTATTAAAAATGTGAATGAACTTTTTAATTAAAAGTAAACAAACACATCAATTTCTTTTCTTACTAAAAATAAATCTTTAAATTAAGAAATTTATTATAAAAATATAATAGAAAAAATAACAATAAATGTAAATATGGTCGATTCAATCAGTAAAAATTGTAAATTTTAAAATGAAATTTACAAGAAATTAATGAAAGAAAATCAAATTTAATTGAAGACTTTATTCGTATTTTAGTAAATTTTCAAAGAAAATATCAAAGATAAAGAAAAAAATATATAAATGAAGGATTTTAAGAAAATTATAAAAAAGAAAAAAATGGAGAAGAGTCAAAAAAATTGCGAATAAAAAGTATTTTGAAGTTTTTAAATCAAATTTTATAGAAATTGAAATTAATGCAAATGAGTTACTGAATAAAAAACATTAAATTGAAATAGATAAATAAATACAAATAAAAATTAATATAAAAATGTAAAGACTTTTTAAATAAATAAAAGAAAAGAAAAGAAAAGTCAAATTTATGACTGAGGATATTTATTCATTCATTCATTTAATTATTGAATTTGAGAAAAAATATGATAGAAGAATTTTATAGATAAAAATGAGTTAATGCTTATTGAGTTAATCTGATTAAAAAATATAAATTAGAAATATAAGCAAAAGCTTTGAATAATTTGAAAGTACCAACATTAGCTTTTTTTTAATTAATTAAATATAAATACAAATGAAAATTATAATGATAATTTATTAATTAATAAATTAATTAATTAATACGAAAAAGCGATTTAATCAGGAAGGGCTGATTTAGTGAAAAATATTTATTTGATTTAAAAGGAGTAAATTTTATTTGTAAATAGTTTATTGTTTCGTTTGTAGATAAATTAATTGAGAGATATTTAATGTTTGACAATTTATTTATTTATATATTTCTCAACTTGTGGAGTAAAGTTTTGTTGGAATTGATTGATGTTGGTGTTGCGAGTTTGTTTGAGGGTAAAATCTTTTATCATGATGAGGTGAGCTGGAAAATCAAGCAAAATATCAATCTAAGGAGAATGTAATACTATTATATTTTTAATCCATTTGTAAAATCAATGTGAATTGTATAATCACAGATTTGATTTGATTTGATTTGTTTTTTTTTGAGGAATAAATGAATTATGTATGTATGTATGGACATATGAGTGAAAGAAATAATCAATAATTTAAGTGAATAAATATGTATATAGTAGGTGAATGAGTTGTGAATGAAAGTATTAATGATAATTATTTGATAATTAATAAATAGAGTTATTTGTTTTGTAATAATTAAGTTTTTCGCTTTTTTGTTTACAAAAGCATAATTTCTAAAATAACAATAATAATAGGATATGAAAAACTTCGACGATTTGAATAACGATAAGAGCTTGTTTTTGACGCAGTCTTACCTGAGGAAGGGCGGACTTTATCAGAAACAGCTACAGTATCAATAGCAAATGGAATAAGAGAATAGGATTGCTCGCGAATAGCTGGAATAGCAGAAGAAATACATAGAAGAAAAAGAGTAAATTGAATTGGATGTATCGCGACCTATTTAGATGAACGATGAACTGATTTATTTAGCACAAACAATAAAAAATAGCGATTCTGCTGATAAAAATTCAGGAATTAATAATTTGATAAACAATAGAAAAATAGCTAAGAGCTTTTCGATTATTTCGCCGAAACCGCAAACTCATTCAGATTTGCAGGTCAACATATAAATAAACGGAGAGGCTTCGATTAAATCGCAATATCCAAATTCAAATATTGATTTGGATTTAGACAAAAAGAAAGTAAATACAGAGATACAACTTGCTGATTAGGATGATAACCTTATCGACACAAACAGACTATTAGATTTATAAATTAATAATATGGATAAGAGCAAGCACGCGAATGGCAACTGTTCAGTGCAGACTGCTTATTTTAAAGATAAAAATTCTATGAGTATCAATCACAATTAGCCTTCAAGCTTCTTTCCAAATACAAATAATAGGCTGGAGGTTGGACAAATTAACTAGATATCTCGTTTCGGCTTGTCGCAGAACAACATCAATTTGGTTAAATCTGAAATTGACGATTACGAGGACTGCGACGATACTATCGATGAGACAGGAGAGTTTACTAAAGCAGAAGTTACCAAATACCAATTTAGAACAAGAGAGCCTTAGCTTAGAATGAAAAAGGAGCAAATTTTTAATAAACCAAGTCACAAAGGAAGTTATAACGCGGCGTCATTTTGCAACAACCATATAAATCAAACGTTTGCCTCTAATCGGAATGGCTCGTGTGAGCAACTTCCGAATTCAAGTCGTAGAAGATTTCTCTCTAACCACTAAGGAGGTGCCATTAGTGGCTAAAATTTATAGTAATAAAATCAAAGCAAAGAATTTAGCTATGATTTAACTTCTTCGAGAGCTAAATAAAATAACAATAAGGATTAAAATAACTCGCAGCTTGTGCCTTATTCATTTATGCAGTCTCACGGCATACAAGATACAAGTCACAATTCTACTTCCGATGTACTATCTTAACAATAATAAATTGACAATATCACTTAAAATTTGATTGACAAACATATTCCCAGTAGTAAAGAAAACATTTTATATAATTAGCAGCAGGACTACTTGATCATCTTAAGCAACGCCTCAATTGAATCTGATTCCCACTCTCCCTAGCAAACTCAAAGAGACGACAAAAAACAATTACCTCAAACATTTCTACCTATCTTGGAAGAAAACATCCTTGAAACTAACCGTAGCACTCTAAACAGCTTCAACAAAATTGAAAAAAAAATTAATGAAACCCAGCTCATCAACAGTTTCCATCTCAAAAATAAAAACGGAATTCCCAATAAAACCAAATCTGAATTCAACAACAACAACAAAAATCATTTCAAACACAACGAATTTCATAAAAATACCTTTACTATGACAGAAGAGTTCGACGAGACCTTCGAAAAAGAAAAAATCACAAAGCACTAATTTGAAGTCCTGTCTCCGAATCTCTCCCTAAAGAGTAAGTAAATTTTTAATCCCTCAAGCAAAAAAGGAAGCACAAATTCTTCATTTTCCATTAACAACAACAACAATAATTGCAATTACGTCAACTTCGTAGACCACTCCAACCATTAAATTTAATTATTTTCACCCAAAAACTCAGATGGCAACTTGAAATCAGTTTCATCTTGTTATAATCCAACATAAAATATACTACAATATACCTACACTAAAGACTAAATTGATAAATTAATTACTCAATAATCCAAATCTAAATATAAAGGCCAATAATCTGAATAACAACAATAATAATAAGTCTTAACCTTTTCCACCAAACAATCTCACGAAACTACTAACTACCCCTCAGCATCAACTAATTTTATCTCTAAAACACCATAAATTTTAAACTATCCCTAACAACAACCACAACAACAATAACAACAAATTTAACAACCATCTTTAAAAAATTTATAAATATAAAACCAAAAAAAAAATAATAAAATTGAATGAAATTGTATATTATTATATCCTCCACATTATAGTTATTATTTATATTAAATTTATATTCCTTATCAATTATTTCCCCTTCTTCTCATTACAAAATAAGCCCTCTTATTGCTCCAAAAAAAACTCAACAAAAAATAAAATAAATCAACACGAAAAAAATAACAAAACAAAAAAAACAACATCAATAAAAGCTTTTTCTAAAAATTTGTTTTCAATAATAAATTTATTTCGTTTAAAATTAGCCCAAATAAAAACACATTTAAGCCAACAAATATTTAACAAATAAATCAAATCAAAAAAATAATTTTAATAAAAGCTAAAAACAGATTAAAAACCATAAAGATAAATAAAAAGAAAAGGATAGTTTAAAACAAATTACAAAAATTATATTTAAAAATGTTAATTAAAATTTTATTAAAACAAAAACAAATTTGTCAATTAAATCATTTAATTTTTGTTAAAATATTTTTTATTTTAAGTGAAAAATAGAAATTAATTAAATTAATCAGTTTTTTGATCATTTTTGATCATTTTTTCTCAAGTATTTTTATATTTAATTTGATATAAAAATTGTAAAAAATTCTTAAAAAATATAAATAAATTTAATTTTTTCAATTTACTTTTGATAAGTTGAAATGAAATTGTTTGTGGCTTAGGTTTTGTTATATTTTTTGGTTGCTTTAAATTTGATTTGTTAATAAATTTCGAATTTTGATTAAAAGTTAAAAATTATTTAGCTAATTTGTTTAATAGCAATTAATTTGTTAAGCAAAATACCTTTCAGCTAAAAGATTAATATTGGCCAGCACTTAAAATATTAATTTAATTATTTAGATAATCATGTTAGCTTAAAAAAGCTCTGAAAATATGGAAAATTTTTTAATTCATTTAACACAAAACGAGTTAAAAATTTTACTTTGAAAAACTTCTGACATTTATTTATTTAATTAATTAATTAATTGATTAATTATTTTACGCCAAACAATAAATGAATCAAATAAATAAATAAAGAAACAATTTTGATGATATGCTGAATATATTTATAAAAAATACCTTTAGTTTAATTTATTAAAATTGAAACATTAATTAATTTACTTTATTATTTGATTATTTGTTTGTTTTTAGTCTTCTATCAATCAATAAATAAAGGAAAACCGATTGACTTACAAATAAAATATAAGGAGTAACACAATAATATTAGCTTTTAGCAATGTCCTCAAACACTAATTTAGGTTATACGGGATATTTACTTAGGAAGACTGTTTAGCCTCACTCTTTGAGGTACGACAACTCTAATTTCAATGAGTACAGGTCGAAGAATATGATCATGTACATAAATAAAAAAGTCAGCAACACTCGTGAAAGAGAAGGAAAGAATTTATCGCATCAATAGTTATAAAAGGGAATTAATATTATGGTTAGAAAGGCTAACGGACAAGCAAGTGGAGCTCAAAAAGATAATGAAGAAAGTTCTTAGGTTCAAGAAGAAGTAAATTTGGAATAGCTCAAAAAGGATGAAGAAAAAGAAAGATAAGATCCATTTTATCAAGAAGTTATGATCAGAATGAAATAAAATGAATACACTGATGACTTTGCAGTTGTTTCTGAGGAAAATAAAATTCTTAAGTAGGCAAAAGGAAGAAAAGAGAGAAGTGACATTGAATAGACTTTGAACATATTGGTTGCTAATAATCTCGATCAGAATAACTTATAGGAATTGTTCAGAGATTTCAAAAAAATATCTTTAAAAGATAAGCTAAACGACCTAAAAAGTAGACATGCAGATATGGCTAAAATTCAAAGAAAAATCAAAAAGGATTAGCAAACCATGCAAGGATTAGAAGACAACGAAAAAGTTAACAAATTCATGAATATCATTTGTCAAAGCAGAAACTTAACTCTCGGCAAAATTCTCTCTATGAAAGAAGGTGATAAATGCATTTATTTATCTATTAATTTATCAATATAGATTTTTACAAATCGAAGCATTACTTTTATTCTAAGAAAACTGGTTCAAAAGCAATATAAAATAAAATAATAATTTGAATTGCTTATCTGCACAAAATTAAATGTATTTCCAATCAAAAATTTCATTTAAAATAACAAAAACATAGCAAAATAAGAATATAAAACATTATTTTAATCAATAACAAATGTTATTTAATTCAGTTTATTTGAGTATGATTTATAATTCAAACTTATTGAGATTAATGAGGCACTAAATAAACTTTTTATAAAGATAGCATTTTAAATAGGCAGATAAATATTAAAAAGAAACTGAAAGAGAATAATTAACAAAAAGAATAGTTAAATTTAAATGAAGCAAAAAAACTATTGAATAAATTAAGACCTTTTATTCAAATAATCTAATTAATTGTTAAGAGGGTCAGATGGATAATTTCTTTAAAGATAACCAAAATATACCCTATAAATTTATTTCAAAAATATTTTAGAGAATACTTAATAAAAATTTTATACATCTATCCCTCGTTGCTTGCTTTATAGCAGAATAAAATAATTGATTTATTTTTATCAAATCAAATGCAATGGTATTTTAAATATAATGATTCATTAAAAATAATATATGCACATTGATTAATAAAAAACAAATCAAAAATAAAGATAATCAAACCAGCATTCTTATTCACTTATTTTAGTTTAAAGCTATCTTTTTTATTTAAAATAAAAAGGAATTTCCTTTTTTAAATATTAAGTAATTCCACTAAAAATTAGCAAATTTTAGAACTCTCAAAATAAAAAAATGATAAAATAGATTAAACTAATTTTTTTGTATTTGATAAATATTGTTGAGCTAAAAGTTTTCAATAGTCATAATATTTTTTGAATAGTGTTTAAATTTAGAATAATTATTAAATACCATTTGAATTGAGAATAAAAATTAAATAGAGTTTGAATTTAAAATAATAATAATAATAATTAATTAATTATGGCTTGAATTAGTTTTAATGTAATTTTTAATTTATTATAGAAGAAATACAGTACGGTACTTAGGATGACGGTCTAGAATCAATACCTAAAGTTAAGGCTTTAGAAATGCTGCAAGAGCTGATTGAAGATGAAGAAGAAGAAAATTAAAAAAATATGATTAAAATTTTTAAAAAGACTTAGCTTGATAATATTGATATTGATGCTGCTAGAAATAAATTTAATATGACATCTTTCAAGAAGAAAAATGAATAAACAGAAAAATTATACAATTAAATGGCTGAGAATAACAAAAAAGCTATTTTGAATGCAAGTAAAATTGGATTATTTATTTATTTTTTTACATTACTAAGTCAAATTTGTTTGTTTCTTTTATTAATTATTTATTTAGTTAAGGATCCTCAGTTCGATCCAGAGAAATTTGTCAGAAACAAAGAAAGTGTCAAACCTCCAAGTGAGAAAGTAAACGTTTTTCAGCGGTTGATTTCACCTGAATACGCAAAAATGTAAGAGGAAATCTAAAGAAGTATGCCCAGATAGATTCCTTTGCATTTTGTTCAAACTGAATAAGAAAAATGCCACTAAAAACTTAAGGAATTATTCTCTTAGAACAAAACTCATGAATCTGCACCTAATATATTTGATTCTAGAATATCTACAAAAAAATCTTTCAACCTGAACACTCAACAATCTTAGAATGGGCAACAGTTTTTCTTAACTTAAAGCAATTACTCAGTTCCTAATTCTACTTTACACAGATCACATTCTCAAAAAGTCTAATTTAAAAACTTAACAGCTAACTCTGCTTTATTTACACCACAAAAAAATCCTATTGAACTTTCTTAGATTTCAACTGATGTGAAATCAGGAACAGACACTCAAACAAAATAAATAAGCAGAAATTTATCTGCTAAGTTTACTCCATTTAACAGCTCTGTCGAAGCCTATTAAATAAAAACTCCTAAATCATAATCTGGCTTGTAAAATACACAGTAATAGTAGTATTATTAATAGCAATAAAAGAGGAACTAACTTCTTCAAAGATAATCTAAATCAATGTCCTCAAATCCTTATTAAGACAGAAAAGCTCAGATTAAAGTTTAATCTCAAGCTGAAATCTTGTAACAACGTATTAATAAACTGAGAGAAAACAAACAATTCGCGAAAGCGAATAAGTTACAAATGCTTCTCAACAAAATAGAAATGCAAAAAGAAGTGTAAAACTTCGTAGAAACCTGCAACTAAGAAAAATTGGAAGCAGCAAAATAGTCAAGCTTTACCAACCATAAAATTAACAACCTAGAAAACGAATTCGAAAACGACTTAAAAGAAATAAATCTTCTCCAGCAAGGATAGGTGAACGTTGAAGTCAAAATTGACAACCCTAACTTCATCGAATTTAAAAACAGGTCAGAATTTAAGAGAAAATTAATTAATCACCTCATCAAAAAAGTTGATAAAAAAACAGACCTTTTAAGTAAATACAAACAGAAGTAATTCACCTAAAATTTCTTGTAAAAATTGTAAGATGACGGCTACATCACAGTAGACCAGTGAAAATAAAATTATTTCCTTTAAAATCATATTTTATGAAGCTTATCCAAACTTTCAAGATATATTCAATCAACATTATTAAACATAATACTCAAGATAGTTATTTCATAAACAAAAACATCAAAATTACTAACTAAACCAATCTAAAACAATCTCATGTAAATATATACAATCCAAAATTAATATGTATGAAATTCTCTCTATTTATCTATCCATACATTAGTAATTTCATCTATCAACTTATTAATCTATCTATCTATCTATTTTATTATTTATAAATTTATTTAACTACCAATATATCATCTATCTATGTATATATGTGTATATCTAAGAATACATTTATATTTATCTATCTACATATATTCTAATTACCTATTTATTTATTTATTTATTTATTTATTTATTTATCTATCTATCTATCTTTACATATCTAAATAACTAATTATCTATCTAACTATCTATACATCATGTATATTTAAACGATAATTAAAATATGTTATAAATCTAAAAAAGTAAGATTAGATTCTCTTTTAGTAACTTTTAATCTATCTTTATAATACAGAATAAAGAAGTAAATTTTAATAGTTTATATGTTTTCTGTTAAAGTAATAAAAAAGAACATGTAAAAAATATTATTAACTTACTTAATACAATAATTATTGATAAAATTATAATTTTAATATAATTCTATCTCATTTTTTAAATGCTTTGATAAATAGCTAAAATTAAACTTTAAAATCATGAAAGATTTGATGAAATTTCTTAAATTTTATCACCAAAAAGTAATAATTTATAATTAGAATTAAAATTAAACTCATTAATAAAAAGTGAATAACATAAATTAATGCATACAAATTAGATTAAATGAATTTATTTAGAAAACTTACTTACAACAAAAACAAGTAGAATAAGATGTTAATATCTTTTATATTTAAAGATCATCAAAAATTAGAAGAAAAAAATTTAATTATGGAAATACAATTTAGAATTTAATTGAAAATTGGGCAAATTTAATAGATTTTTCATTCATTTTAATAGCTAAAAAATAGCATTTATTTATTAATTAATTATATTTGCATTTATTTATTTGTAATGAGATCAAAAAATAATTGATAGATATCGATTATTGATTAATTTATATATATCTAATCTTTCATTCATTATGTTAATAATTCAATATACGAAAAGATTGATAATAAATGATAAGTTTTGTTAATAAATATTGTTACAGAAGCTGCTTGAGTTACTTTATAAAGCTTAAATAGAAAGTAGATTTAGATACTCTCGCTAAAGAGGTTGAATAGCAAAAGATTATCATAAACTCTCCTCAAAGTATGAATTTATAAAGAGTTACTTTCACACTAAATTTTTAAGAATGACTAGCATATTTTATCATTTTTATCTTATTAATTACACAAAAATAATTAAGCAAAGAATATTGATGATTTTCTCAAGAAGTATAACAAAATGAAAAATATTTAAAAGGATTATGAACTCATGTAAACCGCACATAAGGATTATCCTTCGCTGTAATATCTAATTAGAAGATAAAACATTTTTTTTAATTATATTTTATTAATGGAGAGCTTAGTATTAGATGAGTAGAACTTTAGACATGGAGAAAACTGCTAGGAGAATAGGTCAAGTGCATAAAAGTCAAAAAAATAATCTAGAAAATATGAATAAATCAACAAAGGCCATCCAAATTTTAAAGAATGAACTTTATGTAAATGCTCAATGAATTTAATGATAAATTTATTTTTGAATAATAAATGAAAGAACTTTCTAAATAAATAAATAAATAAAGCTTCATTTAAATATAAAATAAATAGGAACTTTATTTTCTTTTAGAAAACAAAAAATATGATTTGAATTCTTAGAAACAGACAAGTTTACTTAAACTTAAAAAATATGTTGAAAATCATAATTTATCGGCAATTTAAATGCCACATTAAGATGTAATAAATTCTAATATTCCTTTATTAGCTTAATCAGGAGAGATGCTTGTAGATATTTAAGGACAACTAAAGGCATTTAGACCTGATGATTCCAGGTTATTGCAATAGTTTTAATACCTCAAAAAGTTCACAGTTCAAATATTCAATAACTAAGGCTTTTAAATTTTTGATAACAGTTTTTACAATTTTTAAAAATGTGAATATCCAATTAATATGATATTCAACGAAGAATATAAATTTGTTGAAACTAATGCAGAAGAAAAAGAATATTTTTGTCTTGACTCAAGCATTCCTGGTTTGCTACAACTGATCTAAACAAGAATTAATTTTTAAGAGAAGTTCAAAATTTTAGTTTTTACTCTAGTTTATAATAAAAATCTAAATGGAATGTAAGATCTAAAAATAGAAGTTATTTCTGAAACTGATGCTTAAAATCTAGAAGAAGATATAATAAGTTTAATTGATGCAGGTCTTAGCTATTTAGAGAAAACAATCAACTTTAAAAATATAAAGTAAATTATCAAATGAAAAAAAAATAAATTAACATTTTTAAATTGAAATTGTAATTAATAAAAATAGAATTGAAAGCATAAATGATAACACAAAATCTCAAATAACTTTGCAAATGCAAGATGGAGATTTATTAAAGCTAAGAAGTTATGGAAACTTTATCTCTAAGAGGTTAAATTTAAAACTAAAACACTTTGCAGGTTAAGAAGAATTTGAAGAAGTTTCTTGCATTAATATTTTGGAAATACCCTCTCTACTAAATTTGTTATTATATCAAAATCACGCTTAATAATAAAATTAATGAAAATATTTTATTTTTAAAATTAAAATTTAGCATCAAATAAAACTAATAAGAATAAATAAAGCATTAGGCTTTTTAGAATTTCTAAAAAAAGCTCTAATTATTAATTCTTGAAATTAATTTATTTAAATAAATAAATCCTTGCTTTTAAAAATTAAATAAGCAATTTTCGTAATTTATTAATATCATTTTTATAAAAATCTATATAGTTCTGTTTATATCAAGTTTTATAAATTATAATATCTATTATTATTTCTTTCTTAAATATTGCTTCTTATTTTAAGCTTAAAAACTTGAATATGAAAATTATAACAATTTTTTTTGCTAATTTTTTGGATATTTTGTATTTCGCTTCTAAATGAATTTATATTAATTATTTAATTAAGTTTTCATTATATTTTTTATTGGACTCGTTGATATTGAATTTAAAGCGCTTTTTAATTTGATATACAACAAATAAAAAAAATTAATTTGCTTTTTTATTAACTTATGTATAATATTTATTTAATTTATGAAATCGAAGGTAGAAATTTAGAAAGTTAGATAAAAATTAATTATGAATAAATATATTTTACTTGATAAAATAAATAAATTATTTGGAATATTTACAATAAAAAATAATTGATGTATTTTTTCAAAAATTTTTTCTTTGTTTGAAAAGCATTTCTATTAATATTTTTCTTTTATTATCTAATTCTTCTGCTGTTTATTTTAAATCTTCTGTGTTGTAGTAAATTTATATTAGGTTTTATATTTCTTTGCTAACATGTTCAATAAATTAGGAAACATATTCATCTATTTTCTACTCATTAATTCTATTTGTTTGTAATAAGAATCTGTAGACTTTAATCATATTCAATAAGACTTGAATTCCTTCAGAGTTTTTGACCATTTCGTTGAACATTTCTTATTCATTTTCAATAACTTTAAGCTCACCCAAAGTGATTAAAAATCTGTTGCGATATCTCAAGAAAGCTTTAGCTTTAATTAAAAATACTTTGGTCTGCAATGAAATTTAAAGCTAGTCTACTGATCCGAGTCTTAAATGAGTTTTGAGAGGCTCCTAAAATTAGGCTATCCTTATTTTAATTTCATTCAATTTGTTATTCCTAACTTTGTCTATTAAATCAATAAGATTTTTTCTAAATTTGTTGACAAACTAAAGAATTTTAATTTGCTCTTTTTCTTTTAAGCTTTCATTGATTTCTTATACAAATAAGACACTTTTATTTAGCGATTTTCCATATATATCAAATATATTTGCTATATGATTAATTTGAACAAGCTGAGTTTTATTTTTTTCAAAGATCTGCTTAAATTTCTTTGCAAAATGTGCCTAAAATATCTCAAACAAATAAGAATCTTTCTAAGATTTTAAATTTTTGCCAAAATCTATAAAAAATTTCTTCAATTTATCCTTCTTGGACTTATTGTAATTCTAAAAGAGTATGTTGCACAAAACTTTTCTATATTTCTTCATAATCTCTGAGAATATTTTATGTAGACTTGCATTATCTTTATTTTTTAAAATTAATTTTTCAAGCCAAAAAAGAAGTTTGCTAAGTTCTTCATAATCTTCTGCCTTTAAACACCTTTAAATTACACTTTCAACTTCAAATATTTCCATGTAATCATTTTCCTATTAGCATCTCTTGAATTTTTCAAACAAACTCTAGCTTTGTAATAAAATAGCTTTGCCTCCTTCCTATTAATCCTAGACCTGGCTTTTTTAAGTAGCAGTATTAGCGTCTGCTCCTTCACTATTAGCATTAACTATTTTAAATAATTTGATCTACTTTTTAAACTGCTCTGCTTTGCTACTAACCCTAATTCTGTTTAATTCTTGTGTTAATTTTATAGCTGATTCTTAACTCTTCACATAATCATTTAAATTTGCACTTATTTGCTACTTCATCTCAAATCTGTTCTTCTAAATCTCGCTCTTAAGCATGTCTAAATTCGACTAAATGCTTTCATATGAACCATTCAGAATGTCCTTCCAAAACGGATCATCCAGCTTATCTTTTAAATATTCCGAATACATATTCTTATTAAAATAATTATTTATTTATTTATTATTTATTTGATAATTTAAAAACAAACTAAAATTTTTGTAATAAAATTGATTAAAATTTTATTATTGTTTGCTTATCTATTTATTCTGATTATTAAATCAATAAATATTCTATCCAAAGTGATTTATAAAGATATTCTTTATTAGTTTCAACGAACGTGTGGAAACAATCTAAGTTACTTTTAAAACTTTTATTAAATATATAAAAAAACACAATTAAAATCATTATATTTTTAATTTATTTCATAAAAATACCATATAAAAATAAAAATATTTAATAAAAAGATATGATAAATAATCGTATCCTTGCTTATTGCTTTATTTTCGAGATTATTAGGCTTGATTGTTATGATAAATTATAAAACTTACTAACTAGTAAAATATTTATTAATAAATTTAGGGAGGTTATTTTTCTAAAATATTTAGGGAAGGCTCAATATTAATGAAAAAAGAATATGAAAAAAAAATTTAAATGAATGGAGAATTTAATTTTAAAATCTCATAAATTTTTCAGAGTCATCATCCATAAATAATCTTATGATGCTATTATACTAATTAAAGTATGCAGAAACCAAATATCATAGCAAAATTTTCATGGTTGGTTTGGTTTCCAACATAAAATAATCAACAATAGCTTCTTTGAATTTATCTTATTTAATAAAGAAAAGGCAAGCAAACATTGATGGTATTTTAAATCTAGTTTTTTTTGAAATTTTTAAAAATAAGAAGTTTTATAAAATAAAAAGAATATAAATTGCTTTTATTTATTTTCTTTTTGATTAAATCCATATATCTATAATTAACTTAAACATGTTAGTTGAAATAGTATTTTAAAATTATTTATATTAGTTTATTATTATTAATATTTTTTTATTTTAAAGGTGAAAAAAGAGTTATTAATAAATTTTTTTATCTGTTTGATTGATTGATGATGCCTTAGTGAGGAGAGAATAATATAATAGCTCACCTTTTTATTTTGAAAATATATGATTAATATACTAAGAGGCATTCGTTTAATTAAATGAAAAGTAGATATTGTTGGTATCTTTAATCTAAATTTGTATTATATCTACATAAAAAAAAGAAAGTTCTATGAAAATTAAAAAAATATTGAATATAAAAATTTTTCTATTGATTTATTTATTAATTTTGTTAAAATTCTATCAAGAAAGCAAGCAAGCAAACAAAAAACAAATAAAAACGAATAAACAAGAATGTTAGGCAAGATATTTAAGCAAAAACTTTAATTTATTAAGTCGTCTCTAAAGATTCATCAAAATTCTAGACTTTCTTTGATACAAAATATATAATTTTAATCTCGAAGCCCATTTTGCAGTTTAGAATAGCGTCCTTAAATATTGAAGAACTCTATTAAATTAGGAAATGACGCTTCGAAGGGGTAGCAAATACAAAAGAATTTATAGGAGGAGTTTAATTAGATTGAGTTAATTTCAAACCCATAGCACCAAAATAGGGTAAAGAAGATTATTCAAACTTATGTTGTCAATACAGATTTTGTTAACATAGAACAATTGGCTGAATTTATTGCTTTTGATGGTTAAAAATTACTCTAAAAGTTAACATCAATGGGCATAAATCCTGAAAAAATTAGTTTAAAGGAGGCAAATCTGATATCTTTAGAATATGATGTAAAGATATAGCATAAGAACGAAAAGGGGAACATAAAGCAAAGATCGCCTGTTGTTACCATTATGGGTCACGTCGATCATGGCAAAACAACATTGTTAGATTATTTAAGAAATAGTTAAATTGCTAAAGGTGAATTTGGAGGTATAACTCAAAAAATTGGTGCATTTCACGTTTTAACTCCTGAAGGGTAAAGAATAACTTTTATTGATACTCCAGGTCACGAGGCTTTTTCAAATATGAGAGTGCGTGGAGCTAATTCAACAGATATGATTATTTTGGTTGTATCTGCTATTGAAGGAATATAGCCTTAGGTATATTTTTTGTTTTATATTGAATGTGTAAATAATAATTTTAATCAACAATTTCTGATAAAAAAGACACTAGAAGTTATTAAGTTAGCTCATTAGAATCAAGTTCATATCTTAGTTGCAATAAATAAAATTGATGTTCCAGGAGCACGTCCTGATTTAGTTGAAAAGTAATTAAAGGAGTAAGGGAAATTAGATTTAGAGCCATTTGGAGGTAACATTCCAGTTGTTCATATTTCTGCTTTAAATGGCACAAACATGGACTTGCTGTTGGAATTAATTTTATTCGAATCAGAACTCATGGAATTGAAAGAAGTAAAAAATATTAAGGAATTTAAATAGAATTTAATGGAAAATTTAATATAGGATTACGATTCTTTAGCTGAAGGAGTTGTGATTGAAAGCAGAAGAGATGTTGACAATGATGAAAAAAGTTGCACAATTATTGTCTAAAAAGGCACATTAAAGGTTGGTGATCATATTATTATTGGAAATAACTATTGCAAAGTGAGATCAATAAAAGATGATAAAAAAAATATGCTTAAGCAGGCTTTTCCTTCATATGCAGTTGAAATTGTAATATTTTTATATTGAATTTAGATTCAATTTAATATTAAAAATAAACAAAAAAAATAAGACTGGAATTAAAGAATTGCCTTAATCTGGAGACGTAGTTTTTGCTTTAGAGTCAGAAAACAAAGCTAAAGTGATCTCCCAAAGAAGAATTAAAAATGAAGAAGAACTCAATAGCCAAGAAGAACAATTCATTTAAGGATCAGGATCTAAGTTGAAATTTGAGTAAAATTAATTATTTTTGTATTAATATTTTAAAAGAATTATTTTATTAATTAATTTAAAGAAATGTCAGAGAAAAAAGAAAATTCTTCTCTGGAAACAGAGAAATCACAGAAGCTAAATATAACGAAGTAGAGGCAAGAATTTTAGACGTAATTCTAACGATTAGAATAAAAATTTAATGAAATTTAATTATAATAATAAATGAATAAAAGAAAATAAAACAATTGGAAGAAATAGATTTTAAGTCAGAAACAGAGATGAATGATATTTAATAAAAAATATAAAAATTAAAATAAGATTTGTAATAGAATAAGTAGTATATGGCTAATTTAGTAGGAGATGTTAAAGTAGGAAATAGTATTAATTTAATTATAAAGGCAAACGATTTTGGTACAAAAGAAACTTTGGTGTCTTAAATTATCAAGGCTAAGTTAGCATACGAAGATATTCAATTAAATATAATTAGCGCTACTGTTGGTTAGGTTACAGAAGCTGATATTAGAGACGCTGAATTATTTAATGCTAAGATATTGGGTATGGATATCTAACTCTCTAAGGATGTAGAGTAATTAGTTAAATAAAAGAAAATTGTAGTTAAATCTCACAAAATTATTTACACCTTAATTGATGATATTAAATTGCTGATGGAACAAGGTCCAGAAGAGGCTGAAGAAGAAGAAAAAGAAGTAGAAAGAGGTCAAGCTGTAATCCAATCAGTTATTGAAATCAAAGCATCTAAATCATGTAAATATAAAGATTTCATCTAAAGATTATTTAGTTATTTTAATATTATCAAAAGAAACACAATTCGTTGCTGGATGCAAAGTTTTAAGCGGTAAAATAAATAAGAAACATTTATATAGAATTGAAAGAGATGGCGAAATCATTGAAAAAGATTTAGAAATTGCTAATCTCAGACACTTTAAGAAAGAAGTAGAAGAAATCAAAGAAGGCAGCGAATGCGGAATAATCTTCTTTAGATTTAATTCTTTCGAAGAAGGAGATACTGTCGTAGCCTATGAAAAAGAGTGAGCGACAACCAAGTTTATTCACAACCTAAATTATTTTAATAATTAATATATTGTTTATATCTTAAATTATATAATACACTTGTTCCTAATTCTTAATCAATATTAAATCTTTCCAAATTTTTTCTTTCCAAATTTTATGCAATTTTAATTAAAATCTATTTTGTCATGACTATATTTTTAATTTCAAAAACATCATAGTCTATAATATTATAAGCTATTATTGAAAAAAATGCAAAATGGTTAAAAAAATGAGAAAATTAAAAAATAATTTTTTTATTAATTTATTAACTTTTTTTTTAATACTTTTATTAAAACATATAGATTACAAAATAATTTAATATAAGATGTGTTTAATTTTTAATAAGAAATATATTTTATTTAAGTGTTAAATGTAGAATAACTAACTCATTTGATTTTATCTTTTTCTTTGTTTTGGTTATTAATGCTAGTTGCGTTGTATTTATTAAGTTCGTTTTTTAACGATTTTATCTTAGTATTTTGTTTATCCATTTGTTCTTTGCTGCTTTTGAGCTAATTTTTACAATCTTTCAGCTGATCTTCTAATTCTTGGTTGCTCTGCTTTAAAGTAGAAATTACATTTGTATTGATTGTTTACTAGTTTTCTAATTGGAAGAGTCTTTCATTTGCAACGATATTTCTTTAAAGCTACTCCTATAAATTTTGAATAATTCCTCTCATTTTTATAGTTTCATCAACAAAACATTTCTTCTCTTGCTAAAATTATTAATAGTAAATAATAAATAAGTAAAAATTTAAAGCATTTATGTAATAATCTACTTCGATTTCAAGGAATTTTGTATATTTAGAATTCTTTTTCATTGTATTGATTTCTTCTGTTTTAAATTTGACTTCATCGTTGAGCTCTTTAATTTGTTTCTTTAGATTGATGTAAAGAAAACTCTAATAATAAATATATAAATAAGTATTTAAAGAATTGAATATTTAGCATTGTATTTAATATTCTCTAAGTGGAATATTGATTATTTAATCAATTGATTATACTTCTGTTGAAAACTTCGTGTTCAAATTTTTTAAATTGCCACTTGCTTATAATTCTTCAATAACTTTTTCATATTTTTTGAGTTCCCTGTCTTTGTTAATTAACACAGTTTTTATTTTATAATTTTCATCAGTGAGTACTTTTATTTTTTCTTTATGTTGTAGCAGTTCCTCAAATAGTTTCTCCTATAAGTAAAAAAACATAATTATAATTTATCAAGACTAAATAACCAGCAAAAACCTTATCATATGCGCTAAAATTGCTTTTAAAGTGGTTGGATTCTGATTAAATGATTCCTCTATGGTGCTGCTAACTGTTTCTGAATGTGCTAGTTGATGGTCTGATTTAAAATACCTAGATTGATTACATTAAAGTCTTTGCTAAACAAAAATAGATGTAAGATAAAGTAAACTACCTTTGATGACTATGTTTATTTTAAAAAGCTAATATTCTTTTTTTATAGCCTAAATATATTTAATGATATTTTAAATTCAAAATGTTGCACTGCTAATTATTATCAATTTACAAACTCAATTGCTTATCTTTATTCTCTTTATCTTCCTAGCTTTTGTTTACAGCACTGAGCTCTCTTTTGATTTAAAAATAATCTAATGTGAAATACGTTGATAAATAATGTAGAATTTACTAATCAGCTGAAGTAGGTCTCTAAAAATATTTATGTCCCTAACTCTGTTATAAAAAAGGCTTTAACTTGAAATAAATATCATGCTATTAAAATGAAATTCTGGGTCAAATCGAAATCTAAAAATTTGGTTTACTTCCTAATTATCCTAATAATATTTCTTCATATCTTCTTTTAAAAAATAGATGTAATTTAAATAAATGTAAGACAATTGATAGTTATATTTTATTAAGCAGATAATTAATTAATTAATGAATTAGCCAATGCAACCAAATATTATATCTAAAATCTTAACAAAAATAATCTTATTTGATTTATTGGCAATCATAGGCCAAGCAATCAAATCAAAAAGTTGCACTAAAATAAACAAACAATCAAACAATCAAACAAATAATCAAATTAATCCTAACTAGTTTGCTTTAAATCTTCATTTTTAATCTACAATTAAGACCAGCATTCTTTTTTCAAATTTTAATTTAAAAATTTAAAATAATAAATTAAATTTTTAGAAAAAATATTTTAGTTTGATTTGAAAAATTATATTTTTAGTAAATTTTATTTTAAATTAATAAAAATAAAATATAAAAAATAATTATTATTAAATTTAAAAAATTTTAATAATAGATTATTATGTTATCATTATAATCTTTATTAATAATTAAGAAAGTTTTAAAGAAAATAAAAAAAAATAAAATTTATTAATATTTGTAAATAGAATATAATAGCAAATTTTTTAATTCGTTTAATCTTAATTAAATTAATTTATAGATCAAATTCACAAAGAGTTTTTTTAATTATGATTTGGAGTTGAGCAAAGTGAAAAATAAATTATAAGGAGATATATTAAGATATAAACAATAATTACTTTTTAACTCTATAGAATAAATTTAATAATTAGAATTAGCGGATTAAAATTTTTTTAAGGATATATTATTATAATTATTATTATTATGATGATGATGATGATTATTAATTTTATTAATTGTAAAGAAAATTTTAAGTTTTAATTATTTATTAGAATGTTAGTTAGTTGATTGCTTGCTTGCTTGGATATTGATATTCATTTAATATCGTTGGATTTTATATGGGTTTGTATATTTTCAATAAATTAGTTAGTTATATGTGGTTCTTATGCTACAAGTATCTTATTCCAGTCAATTTGATATTCTTTTTATCTAGATCTAACTGATTTGAGAACGTAAAGTATTTCGCTTTAGTCCTCTAAATTTTCTAATTTTCTAAGCAGTATTTTTATTAAGTTAATTATAGTCCTGTAAAAAAATATCCAGCCATCTTTAAACACTCCCTGCAAAACTAGGTGCTTTTATTAAATATAATGATTTAGCGAATATTAATTATTTAATTTAACATATTTACTGAGTATTCGAGAGGAATAATATCTGTGAGGAGGACCAGTATCCACTCAGAGATAAACATTGATGGGTGCAAGTCATATTTATTGAGTATTTAATATATTTGGGGACAGTTTATAATCATAATAACTTCAATTGTTTTTAAGTGCTTTTGCAAATCTGGGAAACCTTTTATTAATCATTGTTTGTTAACACTTTTGATTGATTTATTTATTTTTTTAAATACCTGGCTTGAGTAAGTCATTAAGATTGAGAATGCTGCATATTTTAGAAAGGAGTTCAAAAGCATAGGTTTCATCTGCATGCCAAATAAGATATCCTACTATTAAATTCATTCCTTAAACATAGCCTTTTTAATTTAATAAAGAATAAATATTTTTTCTATTAAAATGCGAAGAAAATCTTACCAACTTCGGGATATTGATTGATGTATTTGTACAAAATATTTTAAATCGATTACTGAATTTATGGATTCCAAAAGAATTCGTAGTTTTGATAAGTTCTCAACACATCTTTTTAAATTTGTAGTTGTATTTTAGGATCGAAGTCCAAGGGCATTGATGAGAGGAAGATTGTAGAGTTGACTTGAGATAATTCTTTGTTTATTCCTAACCAACTATAGACTTTAGAGCAAGATTCCATCATATTTTCGTCATTATCGCAATTGCAATTTCTTCTGTGACTTTTATTTTTGTGTTAAATCGAGAGCTTTGTTTATTTTTCTTAACTGATGAAAGTCTGAGGGATGTTTTTAGTCGTAACATCTAAGAAGGAATCTATGCTTTATCTGTTATTAAATTGTCTTTGAGTCTCATTTCCAGTATATATTTATGTCTATTGTTATCCATTAAATTATTATTATTATTATTTGCTAGGATAAGCGCTTAGCAAACCCTCTCGTCTGTTTTCTTTTCCTTTGTAGAGCTACATTTTTGAATGATTTTAAAAACTAAGCTAGTTGGATTGCGTTCTTAATAAATTTTATGTGGATTTTATATTGTTTTGCATTAGACTAAAAGAAGCTGATTTCTCTTGGTCTGCTCTTGGACTTGTGTTTTAAATGGAATATCTATTTGCGTTAGTTGTATTAAGTTAAGATTGATTAGTTTTTTCGTTTCCTTTCAGTAAGTCTATTTCAGATGCTCTGATTGTTGTTAGCACATTCAATTTGCTCATATTTTTATTCATTTAAAAGGAGTTTTGCAATTCTTGAGGAACTGAGTAGTCTTCTTCTTGAGTTGCAGGTGGTTTTTGCTATTAAATAAGCTAATTTTCATTTTAATTTTACAATTTAATTTGGTGATTTAAGTGATTTGATTTATTTTTATCAAACAAATTAGAAGGATTTTCTTGATTATTGCTATTTTTATAATTAAGTAAATTAGTAGATTTAGATGAATTTAATCTTGAAAATTTATTTTCTTTTTCTTAATTAATATCTTAAGAATGTTTTATTTCATTGTCATGTTAATGGATGACGTTTTCTTTGTCCAATTATTCGTTATTTAAACCGTAGTATCTTTAGTTTATTGAGTAAAATTACTTATCGAACTGCTGACTGTTGTTATTTCCTTGATCAATTTAGAAATGTTCAAACTAATTTTAAAAAATAAGTTGGTTTTAGCTTAGAGAATTCTAAGATTGAATCGATATTGAAGACATTGGATTAATATGCTAAGAAGAGCTATTGTTTTTTTAATTTGCAATACACAAATTGTTGTATTTTTATTGAATTTAAAGTGGATTCTGCTGCTAATTTATTTATTATTATTGCTTAAAGTCTTAATTGCTGATATATTAAAATTTATTATTAGGATTTTCTATTTAAAAACATTAATTTTATTGCTTCTGTTGCTGAACATAACTATTGTAGCTGCTAGAGTCTTGAATAAGCTTTAAAGTGCTCTTTTAACTACTTTTTTTCTTTTGATTGTCATATGATATTGTGCTTTGATTGGAAGGTGTTGCATTCAGAGATACCTTAGAAGTGTTGCTTATTTTTCTTTATGGCGTCTTTGAAGCGTTGTGTTAATAATTCTTCTAAATATTAAGCATATTTTTACTGCTATTTTTGTTTTCTTTTAAAAATTGAGAGTAATCTTATCCGTCTAAGCCTCCACTGTTCATTTATACTCCATTATTCATTAAGCCTTTATTTGGTAATTCCTATTGAATAGGGGAATGTCTTTTCAAGAACGCATCAGCTTCTATAGAACTAGCTTGAATTAAATTCTACTGAAAATGAGGATAGTTCCCATTTAATTTTGTATCTATCTCATTCGATTTTTATTGTTAAAAGCCTATCAATTCTTTAAAAAGTATGTTTTAGTCCTAACTTGGTTGCAATTAAAATTAAGCAACACTAATATTATTGTTCTTTTGTATTTATTCAGAAGTGTAATTTGATATATTTATAGAAGATAGAGCACTAATATTACTGCTATTTTTAGCTGAAATATTGTTCTAGAGTTTCTTCGGATTGAAGATATTCTCTTGAGTGTTCTTTTAAGCAGTTGGATTGTTGCTTTTGTTCGCCGCGTCATTATAAATAGAAATAGCTGACGGATTCTTTTAAAGCCTCTTTTGAGGATTCTAAGGAGTAGTTAAACAAACCATAGATGACTTCGATGAAGCTATTTCATAATAATTTTAAGGAAGACATGCAGCATTTTAAACAAAAGACTATTTAATTTTATTTTCCTCATCAACAAATTCATGATTCATCAAATCTAAATTTAATTGATTATTGTTCTTTGAAGAAAAAAAGATGTCATTGCTACTGCTATTTGAACTAAATTATATTTAATGCATCTTTTCTTATTATTCGCAAACTAGATGCTGTCCCTCGTTGCTATTAAAACCCTTAGTCTTTTAATCATTGTTGCCGCTCACGCAATTTTTCTGCTAGCTAGCAGGATTTTAAAAATAGAAATGTTAGCTATATTTCCTTTAATTTATTGGAGTTCGTGGGTTGCTTTTGCTTTAGATACTCTTATTCATATTCATTTAGCTATAATTAATCAATACTGTCAAATAAATCAAATTTCTTTTGAATTTAATAATTCAATCAAATACATCAAACTGATTTACTTTGTTTATTTATTTATTCATTCACTTTTACTTTCTTTATTTCTTGATTTTAAACGTTAACAAACAAATTTCTTTTAACAAAAACCTTAATTTCAAAAAAAATTAATAATTTGATAAACTAAATCAAAAATCAAATAATGCCAAATTCATTCTTTTCTTAATATACTGAACAAATTAAATATAAATTGCATTCAATTTCTATTAATTTATTTAAATTTGCTTATTTATTTTTTTTCCGCAAGTAAAATAAAGCAAATTTTGAATAAAAAAAGTTATAGCAGAGAGAGGTTTCGATCCTCCGACCTTTGAGTTATGAGCCCAACGCGATTCCACTTCGCCACCCTGCTACTTCGAGATTAAATTATCAAAATTCATCTTTGTTTTTGAGTTTTTTTCCAAATAATTTAAATATTTTAAAAGAAAATAAATTCATTTTTTATTAAGAAAGAAAAATTGTTTTCTTTATATTTTTTAAATATTTTAATTGATAAAATTTTTTTTCTCTGCAAAATTACAAGAAAGTAAAGAAATTTGCTTTTAGTTCTTTTGATTTATTGTTTGTAGTTCTATTTTTCTTTGCAGAGCTTAATCAAAGTCATTAAGAAAGAATTAAATTTATAGCTTTTAAAGGCAAAGATTTGTTTTAAGATCCATAAATAATAATGATAATTTCTACTTCAAAAACTTTAGATAGAAACCAAATTTTTAACTATCTCAGACTAAACAAAAAGGATTATGCAAATGTTAAAAAATAAATAGAAGAACATAAAAGTTGTTAGTTTATTTTGCGTTCTTTGAGTGGAAAAAATAACATTATTAGCTAATTTATTGTAATGTTATCAGATGAAGACTCTTCTTCTTATGTAGAGCTTAATCCCTTTACATATCACGATGAATAAGAGAAATACACAGAAGTAGAAATAATCAAGAAGACTTTAGAAGTTAGTAAGATAATTTCATCATTAAAAATAATTTTAAACAATCAAAATTTTCAAAAAAGGTGAAGTTGTCAAGATAAATATTTCATTTGTTTCTGATAGCTTAAATCTTGTTTTTTTACCTTCAGTCTTGGATGTAGAAGAAATCCTTAAGAGATAATTGATAAGATAAAATTAGATATTCTGCACTAACACAATTCTTAATGTTAAAATTTTGGAAAACTTAATCGCATTTAAAATAGATTCAATTTCATATCAAGATGCTTATATTCATAATTAAATGTTTCTCTGCACAAACATGAGCTTATTCGATATACAGATTGATTATTCTTCCTTGCTAAGATTTAATAAATTTTATAAAACACCTAAATCGACATATTTGCATGAAATTATTAACCTTAATCTTGATCAAGAAGCACAAAGTTAAGTCCAAAAATTTAATTAATGGCTGATTTATTCTTCAACTCATAATGATAAAAGTACAGATTATTAATTTTTGGATAAAAATAGGGCAGTTATATCATTCAAATCGAATGGAACTCAATAGTAAGAAACAAAATTTTAAATCTTAAAATACTTAATAAAACAACAAATTTCGCTGTTCAACAAATAAAACGCTGAACTAAATGACTCAAGATAAGAAGAAAGCTAAAAATTATATAAAATTAGATATTTAAATTTAAGGGAAATCAGTCAAATCAGCTAGCTTAATCGCATTTAAGAATTTTTTAATTAGTTGTCATCTTGTATTAAAAAGTAATAAAATAGTTATTAAACACTGCTATTAATTGACTCTTGTGAATATTTTTTAGAGTAAGATAAATACAATGAAAATATTAACAAATTCAATCATTTCTTAGAATTTATATAAAACCAGCAAGCAGTGCTCTTTGCCTTATAACAAGAGTCAAAGAATTATTATAGTTTACCTGAAAAAATTACAATTATCAAACTATGATCTTTTAAAGTAGCAATTACGCTAATTTATTGTAGACCCCTTTCCATTTTATTTAGTTTTAATATCAATAAAATATCATTCAATAAAACTTTAAAATAAAATTTAAATTGTTTAAATGTATCTATGTATTTATTTTGTGTACAATTTTTATCTATTTATAACTTTAAATTTATTTCCACTCATTTTGTATTAATTTCGCAAGAAAGCTAATTACCTTATAACCTCAAAAATAGTAGGATCTAAATTAAAAAAATACTTTTCGAGCTTTTCATTTTAGCTCGAAGTTACTTAGTTTGTAAAAATATGTGGGATTTAAGTATATTTGATTTATCCCTAATTAAAATAAGTAATAATACTTACACCATATATTTTTAAGCTTCTTTTAAATTTTATATATTTTTTACTATTAATCTAAATGATCATTCGATACAAATTAACAAATGGCGCTACAAATAATTTAGTATAAAACAAACATATTTAATATAGTTAAACATACACTTTAAAAGTACTTATATTAAAGTAAAAAAATATATTAAACTATTTTATAAAACAAATAAAAGATTTCATCAAAAATTAGTTTTAGCTTTTAAAATAAAATTAATTTATTGTTACTAATAAAGTAAGTAGAACTGTTTATTTTATATTAAGAATAATTTAGCTTGGAATTTTTTTTGTTTAGGGAAAAATAGAAAATATTTTAATTTGCATTTAAGTAGCAATTCTATAATATAAATGAAATAGATAATATTACTTTTATTATTGATTTTTACTATTATCAATTAGCTTTAAATAAAAAAGATGTTAGTATATTTGTAGATCAGTGAGTAGGCACTTTGATTAATTAAAAAGATATTTTGATAAGAATATTCTTTTCAGATAATCAAAATATCTTTAAAGATCTTTAGTGTTTTTGCTTTCGCTCTATATTTAATTGCTATCACAAAAATGTACAGTAAAACCTGTCAAATTTGGAGCTAGTTAAAATAGCACAAAAGTTCTGGTCCCAAATTTAACTTTTTCATTAAAAAATCTGTAAATAAGTTGGAAATATTTGCATTTTGGAAAAAATATTCCTTTCTATAGGTTACTGCATTAACAGGCTTCACTGTAAACACATATTTTTAGATTAGTGGATAGGATCTTTGATTAGATTAAATTAACAAATAAAAAGTATATTTTGATAAAAACCATACAATTCTTACATTTAATAAAAATATTAATTAAGAGGACTTTTATATGTTTTTCCTTTCAAGCTATTTAAGTCATAAAAAGAAAAGTTATTAGTATATTTAGATGATATTACAGACGGAATAGGTGGTTTGTATAATCCAATAAATAATGAGCAATTACTAAACAATATTTTTATATAACAACAAAAAAAATAAGTAGCTAATATCTATTACATATACTAAATTTTCAAGCCTGTTATATATGTATATATTATAATTCACAAAAGCATTAAAATAATTTATAGAATTTAAAAGATTTTATTTATTGTAAATAAATATATTTATAGTTATTTTCTTTCAAAAGTCGCTAAGTAATACAAATATGTATGCATTTTTTAGTGATATTACCATTATTATTCAGTGATAATTTTTATATAATACAAATCTGTGTTAATTTTTTTTTCATAAGAAAATGGTAACTTTAGATAATTTATAAAATATATTATAAATTTTAAAAAGATACTGTTTATATTGATTGCTATCTTATCTGTTAATAACAATAATCTAAAAATAGAAAGTTGTTAGTATATTTGAAAATTAATTAAGATTTCTTCTTGATTTTAACCAATCTCTCTTGATAGGAGTTTTACTCTAATTTCTTTTATTATTAAGCTGATTCTCCTCTTTAAATAGAAGAAAAAAAGCGATTTTGGTATATATAAATTTTACATCTCTACAAAAACCTCTGTTTTTAGTAAAAAAGCAAACCCCCTCAGCCTACTTTAAGTAAGTCAGTACCCCAGTTAACAACCCCAGTCGCAAAGCGAAAGTGAATAACCAAATGTCTATGAAAGTTCAAAGATAGTTAGTCGAAATTATCTCAAGCAAAGTATCAAAAGATTGCTAAATTCAAAATGCATCAATTAAGGAATTGATCAAGTTAATGTTCAGCTAGAAAAAACACTTCAAAAATTTTGAGTACTTAAGCAGTGGCGCTTATGCTCTTGTCTTAAAGGCTTAGAACTCTTAACAAAATCGCCAAGTAGCTCTCAAATTCTTAGGGAGTTCCAACAAAGAGGACAAAGCTGGTATCGAATCTATGAAAAAGGAGTATGAAATGCTTCAAAAGTTTAGCCAATCAGAATGTTTAGTAAATGTCTATGATTGCTTCTATTTAATGGAAGAATATGATGATGAAGATGATGATGGAAACAAAATTATCGTTTAAACTGAAAACAAATCTTACTTTGTAATGGAAATGGAGCTTTGCGAGAGTAAAAAAACCATAAATTTTTCATCCATTTTTTTTTTTCATTTTTTAAGAAACGTGTAAAAATACATAAAATAAGATATATTTATACTTTTTATTAACCTGACCTAGCTTACGCATCACCATTTTAAAAATAGGTAATTTTATTTTTTTTTCTAAGTCTTTTTTTGATTTAGATAGTTAATTTAAAAAAATTAGATTTGCGCTAAGCAGATTTAATTAATTTAGAAAATATAATAGAAATTATTTAATTTAATATAAAAATGTTAATTTTAATTAATTTTTTAGGATTCCCCACTATTAAGACTTTTTCATTTATTTTAATCAAATTTTGTAAGATTTCTTAATTAAACTTTCTAGAAGATTAATTCATCAAAATTTTATAATCTATTTACCCAATATAACAATTTAATTTTTTAATAAACAATTTTCATAAATATTTTTAATTTATTTATAATATAATAAATTAAAAATGTTATTTGATTTAAAAATTAAATTAATTATTACCTAAAAAATTAATTATTTTAACTATCCTCCAAAATTTTTTTTAACTTAAATTCAAAAATAAATATTTAAAAGATATAAAGATATTAATAACTGAAAAAAATATAAATTATTTCAATAAAAATTATTATGAGTAAACTATATAAATTTCTCATGAGAGACTAAAATTAAACAACTTTAATAGTATAAGTAATCCACTTGAACAAATTTAAATTAATATTAAACTTACTTAAATGTGTTGAAATAAATAATTTCTAAAAATATTAAATATTTAGTTAAATAGATAAGATAAATTCTAAAATAAATTACTATAAAATAATCCTTTATTTTTTATAATATAGGTTTAAAAAGCAATATTATTAATAAATTATTTAACTCAAAACTTTTATTAATAAATAAATGAATAAATCCCATTTCAAAATTTTTATTTTCCTCTCTAAGTTTTTAAAAAATAAAAAATATTTGCAAATAAATTAAAAATAAATAATTTAAAAATTTTAAAACAAACATTTTTTTAATTAAAATTTAAACATAAAACTAATTTAATTTTATAATTAACAAGATAATCTCAAATAACTCTTTGATTTCCTCAGAAAATAATAAGTTCCACCTCCGAAAGAGATGAAGGAAATAATAGCCATTCAAATGATAGAAGGGTTGAATAACCTTCATGTTAAAAATATTATGCACAGGGATATTAAACCTTAAAATTTCCTTGTTTGCGCCTCTAAGGAATATGGTTTCTCAATCAAACTTTGTATATAATTATTTTTATATTATTTAATATTTAATAAATATTTTTTAAATTCAGGTGATCTTGGCTTTGCATCAGCTGTGTCTAAATCAAAAAGCTTCATGTCTAAGGTTAAAAAATTAATTATTATTTTAATTGGTTTCAATATTTTTTATAATTTTCAGAAAGGAACTGATGCATATTTTGCTCCAGAAGTGGAAGCAGGACAATCTAGAATTCAGGTTTTTAATAATAGTGTTATATTATTTTTTAAAGTTTATTTACATTAAATAGTCAGATCTCTTTTCACTAGGACTCGTTTTATTAGAGCTTGACAATCTCAAAACTCTAAATGAGAATTGGATAGATACTAAAACAAAAAATTATCTATTTAATGGAGAAGAAATACCTAAAGAAAAATATTAGATAGATTAGAATTCTAATATTTACAAAATAGCTAAAATATGCTTAAAACCTTGGTATTTAGACAGGACTACAACAGGAGAATTACTATCTTAGCTTATCGAAATGCATGGTTAACCATTGAAATTTGTATTGACTTCTATGATACTAGAGGTAATAAATATATTATTTTAAAATTAATTTACTCAAAATTTAAGCTTATTAAAAAGTTAATTTTAAATGTTTCCTAAAATAAATTAAATTTTATAGAAACTCTTAAAAATATCATTAAAAAGAATTTAAAACAAAATATTTTATATTTTCCTAACAAATCTGATAACATAAAAATAATTTTAAGAGTTTAATAAAAAAAGAATAGCTTATCTGCAACAAAATTTTTTACTTTTAAATGTAAAACAACACATCATTTTTAAGCTATCAAATAAAATTTATGAAAATGATATAATAAACTTATTATTTCTTTTTATTGATGTAAATTGTTATTTTCCTCAATAGTTAATATAAAAAGAAGTTTTATTTTATAATAAATTTTTTTATTACATTAATCTCTCAAAATAAAAAAAATTGATTTTATTTTTGGAATATTTGAATTTTATTTGTTATAAAATAAAAGGAATAAATACCTAGATAGGCACAGTAAATATTTGAAAAAATTAATCAACTGCAAAAACAAACAGTAATCATTTTTAGCTTAAATTTTTATAAAAAGTTATAAATTAAATGTAAATTAAAAAATAATTAATTTAAAGCAAAATTAATTCGACGAGTAAGCTAAGTTTATTCTAGAGAACACCAATGACAAAATTATACAAAAAGATTTTCAAGCACAATTTACAAAAGTGGAAGTATTATCTAATCTGCTGAAAAGTCTCTATGAAAATAAAAAATATACTAATAATTTTCAAATTCTAAGCTTTGGAAGCTTTGGAATGGTATTAGCTACTAAAAAAGCTAAACTTGATAAAAAAGAAATAGTGTTAAAAATACAAAAAATAGAAGATGAATAACATATCTAAAATGAAATTAGTATTATGTAGAAATTAAAAGAGCCACTAGTCGTATAGCTTTATGATAGCTATGTAATAGAGAATAAAATAGGACCTGACAGATACTCAGTCTTCGAATTAGAAAAATGCTCATGTAATTTATTAAATTCTTAATATTTATTTTAATTTAGGTTTCAATTAATTACTTATGAAGATATTTTTATCATATAAAACCCAATTTTTAATAAATAAACAAATGAATAAAAATATTTTTTTATAAAAAAGAATTTAATTTATTTTTTAAATTTAAAAAAAAATAAAAAATTTAATTTTTAAACTGTAAAAATAAATATTTTTTTTTAACAAAAATAATTATTATACTTTTATTATTTTGAAAAATTTTTAGTATAAAAATGATATATTTGATTACATTTTACTGTTTATTTTGTAAAAGGTTCATTAGATGAATATCTTGATAGATAAAACAAAGATGGATAATTTAACGATGATGATAAATACTAAATAGCGATCTAAATTATAGATTCTGTTAATTATATTCACTCATTTAATATCATTCATAGAGATATTAAACCAGAAAATTTTTTGGTTTATTTAGATGGAAAATAACCAGAAATAAAATTATGTAAACTATTTTTATGCATAAATTATTTTTCATTATCTTTTAATTTTAAGGTGATTTCGGCTTATCTGCTTAGATTCCAGATAATAAAGATTCAATTCAAGCTATAGAAGTAGAATTTTAATTTTATATATATTAAATATTAAAAATAACTTTATATACAGAGCATAGGTAATTTAGGATATTCAGCACCTGAAATACTAAATAAATAGGATAATGAACTTAAGATTTATTCAAAGAAAGTAATTTTTTTATAAAAATGTTAATTTTAAATTAATTTCTTATTTTAGTCTGATTCATATTCAGTAGGATTATTACTAGTTTTCTTAGATAATTATTAAGATCTGAAGAAAAATGCACCTTTTACTTTCTTATTAATGACAAAAAAGCAGTTAGATAAGCCTTTCGAAAAATCTAAGATTAAAATTAACAAAAATTCAGAAATTTATAAGTTTATTAACCTTCTTGTTGTTTCTGATAGTAGTTAAAGGGCATCTCTGTATGATATTGTTGAATAAAGCGATACAAAATTCTTAACTAATTCAAAAGAAATGAAATAAATTTTACAAAAAACTCTTTTGATGCAAAATGATAAAAAAATAGAGCAAAATTCCACTATAGAAATTAGTTCTTTAGAGGATTTGAGCAAAGCTTAAGATTACAATATTGTCACAATAAATTTAAGGTAATATTTTCATTTTAATTTAGGTTTTTAATATTTTATTAATGATTAATTTTACACTTTTTAAAACTATTTTATTGATAATCTTTTCTCCTTAAAAATTAGTTTATTAAAGTAAGTAAATTAATTATATTTATATTTACTAACTTAATTTTTTAAATAATGGTAAAATTCTAATATCAAAAGAGAAAAAATGTATTTTTGAAAATTTTTTAGCTCTTTTTATAGCAAAAAATTAGTTTTTCATAAAAAATTAAAAGGCCTTTCTTTTTAATAAAATCACAAGTAGATCTGATAAATTTTGACAAATTTAAATAAAAAAAGCAATAAGGCTACTTAGTCTTCAAATTTAAATACCTGGATTAGCAATATATAAAAAATGATTATTTTTTTTATATTAATAAAAAAATTAAAGATAAAATTAAAAATAAAAGAAAAAATGGAAATAAAAATATAATTCATTCTGATAATTGAGTATAATTCATAAAATTTAAGATTCATTTTTTTGTTAACCAGTGAATTGTTCATGGAATTTTAAATATCTATAAAATTGCTTATTTTCTATTTAAGATTTATTTATAAATTCATTATAAATTATTCATATATATTTAATAGAATTAAGTATTTTTTAATTTTTACTTTAATGCTACTTATAAAGTAAATGAATTATCAATTTCATGTTTTTAATTATTTTTACTCCTTCAAAAACAAATTAAAATATTAACAAAAGCAACAATTTTTTTTTTTTACTCCTCAACTAAAAAATAATCAATTTGTTAACTTAATTACTTACTTACTTACTCTTTCAAAAACAAACGAAGATACTAACAAAAGCAACAATCTTTTTTTACAATCCTTTCTCCTCCAAATTTATTTTCTTAATTCATTATTTATTCTTATATTTAAAGCTATAATATAATTCGTGCATAGGGTGCAAAAGATTTAGGCACAGGAATAGCGTAGTGCAAGAATATCACAAGTTTGACACTTAATTTATAGTAAAAACTTAATTTATCGATTGATAAAGCAAGAAATTTTGAAAAAATTGATTATTTTGTTGATTTACGCTTTTCACTTAGTGATTAGCTAATTAAGTCACTTCGTTAGTAAGCAAGTTAGAGTTAGTTATTTATTTTTTTATTAGATAGATTGCCTTTTTAATAACTTACTTACTTACTCCTCAACTATAAAATAATCAATTTGATAACTTAATTACTTACTTACTCCTTGAAAAACAAACGAAGATACTAACAAAAGCAACAATCTTTTTTTACAATCCTTTCTCCTCCAAATTTCTTAATTCATTATTTCTTCTTATATTTAAAGTGGTAATAGTATTGGTGCATAGGGTGCAAAAGATTTAGGCACAGGAATAGCGTAGTGCAAGAATATCACAAGTTTGACACTTGATTTAAGGTAAAAACTTAATTTATCGATTGATAAAGCAAGAAATTATGAAAAAATTGATTATTTTGTTGATTTACGCTTTTCACTTAGTGATTAGCTAATTAAGTCACTTCGTTAGTAAGCAAGTTAGAATTAGTTATTTATTTTTTTATTAGATAGATTGCTTTTTTAATAACTTACTTACTTAATCCTTCAAAAACAAACGAAGATACTAACAAAAGCAACAATCTTTTTTACAATCCTTTCTCCTCCAAATTTATTTTCTTAATTCATTATTTATTCTTATATTTAAAGCAATAATAGAATTGGTGCATAGGGTGCAAAAGATTTAGGCACAGAAATAGCGTAGTGCAAGAATATCACAAGTTTGACACTTAATTTAAAGTAAAAACTTAATTTATCGATTGATAAAGCAACAAATATTGAAAAAATTGGTTATTTTGTTGATTTACGCTTTTCACTTAGTGATTAGCTAATTAAGTCACTTCGTTAGTAAGCAAGTTAGAGTTAGTTATTTATTTTTTTATTAGATAGAATGCTTTTTTAATAATTTACTTACTTTCTCCTCAACTACAAAATAATCAATTTGTTAACTTAATTACTTACTTACTTACTCCTTCAAAAACAAACGAAGATACTAACAAAAGCAACAATCTTTTTTTACAATCCTTTCTCCTCCAAATTTATTTTCTTAATTCATTATTTATTCTTATATTTAAAGTGAAAATAGTATTGGTGATGAGGGTGCAAAAGATTTAGGCACAGGAATAGTGTAATGCAAGAATATCACAAGTTTGACACTTAATTTAAGGTAAAAACTTAATTTATCGATTGATAAAGCAAGAAATTTTGAAAAAATTGATTATTTTGTTGATTTACGCTTTTCACTTAGTGATTAGCTAATTAATATCACTTCATTAGTAAGCAAGTTAGAGTTAGTTATTTATTTTTTTATTAGATAGATTGCTTTTTTAATAACTTACTTACTTACTCCTCAACTAAAAAATAATCAATTTGTTAACTTAATTACTTACTTACTTACTTACTCCTTCAAAAACAAACGAAGATACTAACAAAAGCAACAATCTTTTTTTACAATCCTTTCTCCTCCAAGTTTATTTTCTTAATTCATTATTTCTTCTTATATTTAAAGCCGTAATACTATTGGTGCATAGGGTGCAAAAGATTTAGGCTCAGGAATAGCTTAGTGCAAGAATATCACAAGTTTGACACTTCATTTATAGTAAAAACTTAATTTATGGATTGATAAAGCAAGAAATATTGAAAAAATTGATTATTTTGTTGATTTACGCTTTTCACTTAGTGATTAGCTAATTAATATCACTTCGTTAGTAAGCAAGTTAGAGTTAATTATTTATTTTTTTATTAGATAGATTGCTTTTTTAATAACTTACTTACTTACTCCTCAACTAAAAAATAATCAATTTGTTAACTTAATTACTTACTTACTTACTCCTTCAAAAACAAACGAAGATACTAACAAAAGCAACATTCTTTTTTACAATCCTTTCTCCTCCAAATTTATTTTCTTAATTCATTATTTATTCTTATATTTAAAGGTAGAATAGTATTGGTGCATAGGGTGCAAAAGATTTAGGCTCAGGAATAGCGTAGTGCAAGAATATCACAAGTTTGACACTTGATTTATAGTAAAAACTTAATTTATGGATTGATAAAGCAAGAAATTTTGAAAAAATTGATTATTTTGTTGATTTGCGCTTTTCACTTAGTGATTAGCTAATTAAGTCACTTCGTTAGTAAGCAAGTTAGAGTTAGTTATTTATTTTTTTATTAGATAGATTGCTTTTTTAATAACTTACTTACTCCTCAACTACAAAATAATCAATTTGTTAACTTAATTACTTACTTACTTACTTACTTACTTACTTACTTACTTACTTACTTACTTACTTACTTACTCCTTCAAAAACAAACGAAGATACTAACAAAAGCAACAATCTTTTTTACAATCCTTTCTCCTCCAAATTTATTTTCTTAATTCATTATTTATTCTTATATTTAAAGTGAAAATAGTATTGGTGATGAGGGTGCAAAAGATTTAGGCACAGGAATAGTGTAATGCAAGAATATCACAAGTTTGACACTTAATTTAAGGTAAAAACTTAATTTATCGATTGATAAAGCAAGAAATTTTGAAAAAATTGATTATTTTGTTGATTTACGCTTTTCACTTAGTGATTAGCTAATTAATATCACTTCATTAGTAAGCAAGTTAGAGTTAGTTATTTATTTTTTTATTAGATAGATTGCTTTTTTAATAACTTACTTACTTACTCCTCAACTAAAAAATAATCAATTTGTTAACTTAATTACTTACTTACTTACTTACTTACTTACTTACTCCTTCAAAAACAAACGAAGATACTAACAAAAGCAACAATCTTTTTTTACAATCCTTTCTCCTCCAAGTTTATTTTCTTAATTCATTATTTCTTCTTATATTTAAAGCCGTAATACTATTGGTGCATAGGGTGCAAAAGATTTAGGCTCAGGAATAGCGTAGTGCAAGAATTTCACAAGTTTGACACTTCATTTATAGTAAAAACTTAATTTATGGATTGATAAAGCAAGAAATATTGAAAAAATTGATTATTTTGTTGATTTACGCTTTTCACTTAGTGATTAGCTAATTAATATCACTTCGTTAGTAAGCAAGTTAGAGTTAATTATTTATTTTTTTATTAGATAGATTGCTTTTTTAATAACTTACTTACTTACTCCTCAACTAAAAAATAATCAATTTGTTAACTTAATTACTTACTTACTTACTTACTCCTTCAAAAACAAACGAAGATACTAACAAAAGCAACAATCTTTTTTACAATCCTTTCTCCTCCAAATTTATTTTCTTAATTCATTATTTATTCTTATATTTAAAGCTGTAATACTATTGGTGCATAGGGTGCAAAAGATTTAGGCTCAGGAATAGCATAGTGCAAGAATATCACAAGTTTGACACTTCATTTATAGTAAAAACTTAATTTATGGATTGATAAAGCAAGAAATATTGAAAAAATTGATTATTTTGTTGATTTACGCTTTTCACTTAGTGATTAGCTAATTAATATCACTTCGTTAGTAAGCAAGTTAGAGTTAATTATTTATTTTTTTATTAGATAGATTGCTTTTTTAATAACTTACTTACTTACTCCTCAACTAAAAAATAATCAATTTGTTAACTTAATTACTTACTTACTTACTCCTTCAAAAACAAACGAAGATACTAACAAAAGCAACATTCTTTTTTACAATCCTTTCTCCTCCAAATTTATTTTCTTAATTCATTATTTATTCTTATATTTAAAGTTAGAATAGTATTGGTGCATAGGGTGCAAAAGATTTAGGCACAGGAATAGCTTAGTGCAAGAATATCACAAGTTTGACACTTGATTTATAGTAAAAACTTAATTTATCGATTGATAAAGCAAGAAATTTTGAAAAAATTGATTATTTTGTTGATTTACGCTTTTCACTTAGTGATTAGCTAATTAAGTCACTTCGTTAGTAAGCAAGTTAGAGTTAGTTATTTATTTTTTTATTAGATAGATTGCTTTTTTAATAACTTACTTACTTACTCCTCAACTAAAAAATAATCAATTTGTTAACTTAATTACTTACTTACTTACTTACTCTTCAAAAACAAACGAAGATATTAACAAAAGCAACAATCTTTTTTACAATCCTTTCTCCTCCAAATTTATTTTCTCAATTCATTATTTATTCTTATATTTAAAGACGTAATACTATTGGTGCATAGGGTGCAAAAGATTTAGGCACAGGAATAGCGTAGTGCAAGAATATCACAAGTTTGACACTTCATTTATAGTAAAAACTTAATTTATGGATTGATAAAGCAATAAATTTTGAAAAAATTGATTATTTTGTTAATTTACGCTTTTCACTTAGTGATTAGCTAATTAAGTCACTTCGTTAGTAAGCAAGTTAGAGTTAGTTATTTATTTTTTTATTAGATAGATTGCTTTTTTAATAATTTACTTACTTACTTACTTACTCCTCAGCTAAAAAATAATCAATTTGTTAACTTAATTACTTACTTACTTACTCCTTCAAAAACAAACGAAGATACTAACAAAAGCAACAATCTTTTTTTACAATCCTTTCTCCTCCAAATTTATTTTCTTAATTCATTATTTATTCTTATATTTAAAGGTGGAATGGTATTGGTGATGAGGGTGCAAAAGATTTAGGCACAGGAATAGCGTAGTGCAAGAATATCACAAGTTTGACACTTATTTTAAAGTAAAAACTTAATTTATCGATTGATAAAGCAAGAAATATTGAAAAAATTGATTATTTTGTTGATTTACGCTTTTCACTTAGTGATTAGCTAATTAATATCACTTCGTTAGTAAGCAAGTTAGAGTTAATTATTTATTTTTTTATTAGATAGATTGCTTTTTTAATAACTTACTTACTTACTCCTCAACTAAAAAATAATCAATTTGTTAACTTAATTACTTACTTACTTACTCCTTCAAAAACAAACGAAGATACTAACAAAAGCAACATTCTTTTTTACAATCTTTTCTCCTCCAAATTTATTTTCTTAATTCATTATTTATTCTTATATTTAAAGTTGGAATAGTATTGGTGCATAGGGTGCAAAAGATTTAGACACAAGAATAGCGTAGTGCAAGAATATCACAAGTTTGACACTTGATTTATAGTAAAAACTTATTTTATCGATTGATAAAGCCAGAAATTTTGAAAAAATTGATTATTTTGTTGATTTACGCTTTTCACTTAGTGATTAGCTAATTAAGTCACTTTGTTAGTAAGCAAGTTAGAGTTAGTTATTTATTTTTTTATTAGATAGATTGCTTTTTTAATAACTTACTTACTTACTCCTCAACTAAAAAATAATCAATTTGTTAACTTAATTACTTACTTACTTACTTACTTACTCCTTCAAAAACAAACGAAGATACTAACAAAAGCAACAATCTTTTTTTACAATCCTTTCTCCTCCAAATTTATTTTCTTAATTCATTATTTATTCTTATATTTAAAGTGGTAATAGTATTGGTGATGAGGGTGCAAAAGATTTAGGCATAGGAATAGCGTAGTGTAAGAATATCACAAGTTTGACACTTGATTTAAGGTAAAAACTTAATTTATCGATTGATAAAGCAAGAAATTTTGAAAAAATTGATTATTTTGTTGATTTACATTTTTCACTGATTAGCTTATTTATTTACAAATAAATCTAATATAATAATTTTAATATACAAAAAATGGTTTTATTAAATATATTTAAAACACATTGTTTGATAAAGATACATTTAATATATAAAAACTTATAGAGGCAATAAGATTTCTCAATCAGAAGAATAATTCAAATAAATATTAAGAGATCAATTAAAAAAATAAGAAATAAAAGTAAAATTGATAAGATTATAAAATAATTAAAATATTTATATTTATAAATAAGATTAAGATAGATTTGTGATGGACTCAAATATACTAATTAATTAAAATTAAAATATTTTATTTTTTAGTAAATTTAATTGAATGTGATTAAATAACATAATTAAGCTTCGTGAAAAACATTATAAATAATGAATATAATTAATAAATATGGATAATTCTTTATAAAATGACATAGAAATTATTTAGCAAAAATATATTCATATAAATAAATAATTATTTTTAAATTTTATACATTTTTAAATAAATTTGGATATTTTGTAATAAATGAAACCTAATTTTTATTTTAAATACATAGACAGTATATTTGATTTTTAATAACAAAATACCAGTTTGTCCTAAAAATTTTTTCAATATTTATCTTTTTTAAAAAAATGACATATTATAACTATAAATAGTATATATTATTTCAAATTTTTAATTTTGAGTGTTAAACTTTCTAAAAACACAAAAATAAGGCTGCTTTAAGCTTATTTAGCATTATTTAATATGTAATTAAGATATATTATATTTGGCCTTTTATAAATTAAATAGGCATTTCACTCTAGCTATTTATTTATTTATTTATTTATTTATTTATTTATTTATTTATTTATTTATTTATTTATTTATTTATTTATTATATTGCTTATTTATTTATATACATACTTGTTTACATACTTACACTTAATTAAAAAAAATTAATTTGTTTACTTACTCCTTCAATAACAAGCTAAGATTCTAACAAAAATAAATAGTACTCTTTTAATAAAAATCTCTCCTCCAAATTTAATTTTTTAATTTATTATTTATTTATTCTTATATTGATTTAGGTACGGAATATCATAGTGAAAGAATATCACAAGTTTGGCACTTTATTTTAAGTAAAAACTTAATTTATTGATTAATAAAGTAATAAATATAGAAAAAATTGATTATTTTGCTATTAAACTAAAAAATAATCAATTTGTTTCTTTACTCTTTCAAAAACAGACTAAAATACTAACAAAGGCAGTAAACTTTTTATAAAATCCTTTTTCTTACAAATTTATTTTCGTACTTCACTATTTATTATTATGTTCAAAGCTTAAATAGTATTTGTGTTGAAAATGCAAAAGTTTAAGATACAGGAATAGCATAGTGCAAGAATATCACAATTTTAACACTTGATTTAGTGTATAAATTTTATTTAATGATTGCTAAAGCAAGAAATATAGAAAAATTGATTATTTTGTTGATTTACTCTTTTAGTTTAGTGATTAGCTAATTAAGTCACTTCGTTAGTTAGTTATTTATTTATTTTGAATACTTAATGTAATCCTTTTTCTCCAAAATTTATTTACTTAATAGATTATTTATTCTAATATTTAAAGTGGAAATAATATTAGTGATGAATGAAATTTATTTACACATGTAGCATACACTCAGAATTGCATATTAAAATATTATTTTATAACTATTATTATATATTAAATTTTTATAAAGAAGGGAGCAAAGGAATTAGGCACAGGAATAGTATAGTGCAACAATATCACAATTTTAACACTTATTTAAAGTTATAACCTACCTTATTGATTAATATTATATTATTAAAGCAAGAAATATACAAAAAATTGTTTATTTGCTGATTTACACTTTTCCCTAGTGATTAGCTAACTAAGTCAGTTGCTTAGTTATTTATTTATTTATTATTTATTAGATTACTAATTTAAAACATACATACTTACTACTTAACTAAAAAATAATCAATTTGTTTACTTACTACTTCAAAAAAAAACTAAAATACTAACAAAAGCAGCAATCTTTATTTAGAATCCCTTCTACTCTAAATTTACTTTCTTAATTCATAATTTATTCTTATATTTAAGGTATAATAGTATTGGTGCATATGTTGCAAAAGATTTAGGCACAGAAATAGTGTAGTTAAAGAATATCAGAAGTTTGAAACGTGATTTAAGATGAGATCTTAATTTATATATAGATTGATAAAGCAAGATATAGAAAAATTGATTATTTATTTACAGAAAAAAAATAATAATTTTAATATCCAAATAAATGAATTTAATAAAGAAATATATTTCAGAGAAATCACTAAATATATATTATTATTTTATAACTTATATAAATAATAAAATAAATATATTATAAGTATAAAACTAAGAATAGCCAACTATAAAATAATTTAAGCATAAATCTCACTGAAAAGATTTAGAAAAAAAAAAAAATTATTTGAAATATCACAAATCATGATATCATGATCTGTGATATTTTAAATGCTGGAACAGCTATATTAGGTTTATAATTAATTGAAATAAATAAAAATACTAACATCAAAAGAATGTTATATAATTTAAAAGACTTCTTATAAATTAAATATATTTTTTACTAATAATCAAAATGCTCCTTCCTTATAAATTAACACCTATCCTAAAAATAATTTAGTATATAACCTATTTATCTGACAGTTAATAAGCCACTTTAAAACAAATAATATTCTTTTTAAAGTAAAAAAATATTAAATTATTTAAAAAAATAAATAAAAGGTTTCATTAAAAATTAGTTTTAACTTAAGATCTTGAGTGTTTTTTTCTTTCACTCAATATAAAATTTTATAAAAAAAACTTACAGTAAAACCTGCCAAATTAGGAGATAGTTAAATTGGACAAAAGTTTTGATCCTAAATTTAACTTTTTCATTAAAAAATACATCACTAAGCTTTGAAATATTTGCATTCTGAAAAAAATATTTGTTTCTATTGGTGTGCTTAGATAAAATTAACTAATAAAAAATATACTTTTATAAAAACTATACAATTCATTCATTTATTTAATAACAATATTAATTAATAAGACTTTACTACTCTACTTTATGTAATAAAGAGAAAAGTTAATAGTATATTAAAATTACATTACATAATAGATTCTTTGTATAATCAAATAAATAATAAGCAATAACTAAACAAAAGTTTCATTTAGCAACAAATAAAATAAGTAATTAATATCTTTTACTAATACTTGATTTTCAAGTGTGTTTTATATTTAATATTTTATAATTTATAAAAACTTAAAAAAAATTGATAAATATTAAAATTTAAAAGATATTATTTATGATAAATAAATAAGTTTTAAGTTAATTTATTTTAAAATGCTCTAAGTAATACATATATCAATATAAATATTAATTATTAATATTATCATAATTATTATGTGATAAATTTTATATTTTCGAAATATATGCTAATATATTTTAGAATAAGAAAATGGTTATTTCAGAAAATTAATTTATAAAATATTTTATAAATTTAAAAAGATATTGTTTATATTCATTGTTATCTTATCCTTTAATAATAATAATCTAAAAATAGAAAGTTGTTAGTATATTTGAAAATTAATTAAGATATCTTCTTGATTTTTAACCAATTTCACTTAATAGATTTTTTGATGTAATTTCTTTTATTTTTAAGCTGATTCTCCTCTTTATATAGAAGAAACAAAGTGATTTTGTATACATAAATTTTACATCTCTATAAAAACATCTGTTTTTTGTAAAAAAGCAAACCCCTCAACCTACTTTAAGTAAGTCAGTACACCATTTAACAACCCAAGTCGGATAGCGAAAGCGAATATTCAAATGTCTAAGAAAGTTCAAAACGATTTAATAGAAATTATCTCAAGTAAAGTATCATAAGATTGCTAAATTCAAAGACCAGCAATAAAGGAATTAGTCAATTTGATGTTCAGTTAGAAAAAATACTTCAAAAATTATGAGTACTTAAGCAATGGCGATTGTGCTATTATCTTAAAGGCTTATAATTCTTAAAAGAGTCGCAAAGTAGCTCTCAAATTCTTAGGGAGTTCAAACCAAAAGGACAAGAATGGAATCGAATCTTTGAAAAAGGAGTATGAAATGCTTCAAATGTTTAGCCAATCAGAATTTTTAGTAAATTTCTATGATTGCTTCTACTTAATGGAAGAAAAAGAAGATGAAGATACTGATGGAAACGATATTATTGTTTAAACTGGAGTCAAATCCTTCTTTGTAATGGAAATGGAGCTTTGCGAGAGTAAAAAGAATCACATATTTTTCATCAATTTTTATTTTTTTTAAAACTTGTAAAAATACATAAAATAAGAAAGAAGTTATAAATATTTATACTTTTTATAGACCTGAAATGGATTACTCATCTCCATTTTAAAAATAGGTAATTATATTTTTTTTTCTAAGTCTTTTTTTTGATTTTGATAGCGAAATTAAAAAAATTAGTTTTGCACTAAACAGATTTAACTAATTTAGGTAATATAATAGAAATTATTTAATTTAAAAATGATCATTTTAATTAATTTTTTAGGATCACAATTAAGATTTTTTCATTTATTTTTAATAAATTTTATAAGATTTCTTAATTAAACCTTCTAGAAGAATAATTCATCAAAATTTTATAATCTATTTCCCGAATATAACAATTTAATTTAATGAAACAATTTTTATAAATATTTGTTTTTATTAATTTTTACTATTTTAAATAATCAAAAAAATATTATTTGGCTTTATAGTTTGATTTAATTATTAACTAAAAAATTATATTATTTAGCTTTGAAATAATATTTATATTAAATTAACTAAATTAATATAAAATTAAAAATGAGCTTAAGAGAGAATTTAGTAAATTAACAGCTAAGAAAATTTATTTCATTTCATTTTTAAAATTAAATTAATAAAATAATTAAATTTTATATTAAATTAAAAAACTTAAAATGAATTGAAGAAAAATAGATTTTGGTTAAGAAATAAAATATTGATTTATTTGCTAATTTGATCATATAAAAAATTAAACTTAATAATATATATATTTTATATTAAAGAATTAAAATTTTTTTTCCTTCTTTAAATATTGATTTTAATGTATTAATTTTTAGATTAAATTATATTTATTTAATTTAACCAAAACTTCTCAAATAATTAAATAAAATTAATAACATCAATAAAACTTATTTTTTTTTCAAAAACCAAAAAAAAATAATAAAAAAAATATTTTTTGTTTATTTTAACAATTATTTAAATAAATTTTAATTTTATATTTTTTTATTAATTAATTTTTTTTATAATTTTATAAGCAATTAAATTATTAATATAAAAAAATATGTTCTGGTATTGAAATATCCAACAGTAGTGTTTGTGATATTTCAATACCAGGAACAGCTATAGTTAAATTTCTATCATTTGAGGTTAAAATTAAATAATTTTAATTGTATAATTAATCTATTTGAACACAAATTAAATTAATTTTAAACTAATTAAATGTGTTGAAACAAATAATTAATTTCTATTATTTTGTTAAATAAATTTACGTTAATTCTAAAATTACTAAAAAATAATATATTACTCTTTATAAAATAGGTATAGAATGAAATACCCTTAATAAATTATTATCTTTGCTTAATACATAAAGGAAGAAATTAAATTTATAAATTTTTATTTTTTTCTCGAAGTTTTAAAAATAAAAAATATTTTATGATAATAAATACAAAAAAAATAATTTGAAGACATAAAAACAAAATTTTTCATTTGAACATACTAATCATAATTAATTAAATATATAATTAACTAGATAATCTCAAATAACTCTTTGATTTCCTCAGAAAATAATAAGTTCCGCCTCCAAAAGAGATGAAGGAAATAATAGCCATTTAAATGATAGACGGATTGAATAACCTTCATGTCAAAAATATTATGCATAGGGATATCAAACCTTCAAATTTCCTTGTTTGCACTTCTAAGGAATATGGTTTCTCAATCAAACTTTGTATATAATTATTTTTATTTTATATAATATTTAATAAATATCTTTTAAATTTAGGTGATCTAGGTTTTGCATCAGCTGTGTCTAAATCAAAAAGCTTCTTGTCTAAGGTTAAAAAATAAATTATTATTTTTATTGGTTTCAATATTTTTTATAATTTTCAGAAAGGAACTGCTGCATATTTTGCTCCAGAAGTGGAAGAAGGAAAATCTAGAATTCAGGTTTTTAATAATAGTGTTATATTATTTTTTAAAGTTTATTTACATTAAATAGTCAGACCTCTTTTCGCTAGGACTTGCTTTATTAGAGCTTGACAACCTCAAAACTCTAAATGAGAATTGGATAGACACCAAAACAAAAAATTATCTATTTAACGGAGAAGAAATACCTAAAGAAAAATATTAGATAGATAAGAATTCTAATATTTACAAAATAGCTAAAATATGCTTACAACCTTGGTATTTAGACAGGATTACAGCAGGAGAATTGCTATCCTCGCTCATCTAAATGCATGGTTAACCATGAAATTTGTATTGACTTCTATGATAATAGAGGTAATAAATATATTATTTCTTAATTTATTTAAAAATAGTCTCTAAATTTAAACTTACTTATTAAAAAAAATTCCCAAAAACAATTAAATTATTGAAACTCTTAAGAAAGCATTAAAAACAAATATTTTAATAAACAATTGGATTAAATAAAAATATTGTTAAGAACATGATATAATAAAAATAGCATATCTTTCTTATAATTTTTAAATGGAAACCACATTATTTTTAAATAATTAAATAAAATTTTAATAAATTAAATAATAAACTTAGTATTTCTTTTTATTATTAATGTAAATTATTGTTTTTCTTAGTAAATTAATATTAAAAGAAATTTTATTTTATAATTACTTTTTTTATTTCATTTTAAATAAAAAAAAATAATTTTAATTTATTTGTAATATTTGAATTCAATAAATAATTTTATAAAAGGAATAAATACCTAAATAGGCATAGTAAATATTTGATAGTATTAATCAATAGTAAAAAAAGGTAAAAAATAATTATATTTAGTTTATATTTTTGTAAAAAGTTATTAATTAAATTTAAATTATCTCATAATTAATTTTAAAGCATAATTAATTTGACAAAGATGCTTAGTTTATCCTATAGAACACCAATAAGAAAATTTTAGAAAAAGATAAGAAAGCACAGTTTAAAAAAGTGGAAATATTATCTAACCTGCTCAAAAGTCTCTATGAAAATAAAAAATATTCGAATAATTTTCAAATTCTAAGCTTTGGATAATTTGGAATGGTATTAGCTACTAAAAAAGTAAAACTTGATAACAAAGAAATAGTGTTAAAAATAAAAAAATAGAAGATGAATACTAATCTAAAATGAAATTAGTATTATGTAGAAATTAAAAGAGCCACTAGTCGTATAGCTTTATGATAGCTATATAGTAGAAAATAATGTAGGGCCTGATAGATACTCAGTTTTTGAATTAGAAAAATGTTCATGTAATTTATTAATTAAATTTTTAACATTTATTTTAATATAGGTTTCAATTAACTAATTATAAAGATATTTTTGTCAAATAAAAACCCAGTTTTAACTTAATAAACAAATAAATAAATCTATTTTCAATAAAAAAGAATTTAATTTGTTTTTAAATTTCAAAAAAATTAAAAATTTAATTTATAAATTGTAAAAATAATTATCATACTTTCATTATAAATTACTTTATTTTGAAGCATTTTAATATAAAAATGATTTTTAAAAAATATATTTGATTCTGTTTATCTTGTAAAAGGTTCATTAGATGAATATCTTGAAAGATAAAACAAAGATGGATAATTAAATGAAGACAACAAATTTTAAATAGCTATCTAAATTATAGATTCTGTCAATTATATTCATTCATTTAATATCATTCATAGAGATATTAAACCAGAAAATTTTTTGGTTTATTTAGATGAAAAATAACCAGAAATAAAATTATGTAAACTATTTTTATTCATAAAATATTTTTCATTATCTTTTGATTATAAGGTGATTTTGGCTTATCTGCTTAAATTCCAGATAATAAAGATTCAATTCAAACTATAGAAGTAGATTTTTAATTCTTTTTATTAAATATTAAAAACAATTTTATAGCACATAGGAAATTTAGGATATTCAGCACCTGAAATATTAAATAAAAAGGATAATGAACTTAAGATTTATACAAAGAAATTACTTTTTTTTTTAAAATGTTAATTTTAAATTAATTATTTATTTTAGTCTGATTCATATTCATTAGGATTATTGCTAGCTTTATTAGATAACTATTAAGATCTAAAAGAAAATACAGTTTAAAATTTCGCATTAATGACACAAAAGCAATTAGATAAACCTTTCAAAAAATCTAATGTTAAAATTAAACAAAAATTCAGAAATTTATAAATTTATTAACCTTCTTGTTCTTTCTGATAGTGCTTAGAGGGCTTCTCTGTATGATATCGTTGAATAAAGCGATATAAAATTCTTTTCTAATTCAAAAGAAATGAAATAAATTGTACAAAAAACACTTTTGATACAAAATGATAAAAAAATAGAGCAAAATGCGACTATAGAAATTAATTCTTTAGAGGATTTGAGCAAAATTTAAAATTATAATATTGTCACAATGCATTTAAAGTAATATTTTCATTTTAATTTAGGCTTTTAATATTTTATTAATGTTCCATTTTACACTTTTTAAAATTATTTTATTGATAATCTATTCTCCTTAACAATTAATTTATTAAAGTAAGTAAATTATATTTATATTTACTAACTTAATTTTTTAAATAACGTAAAATTTGAAAAGAGAAAAAATATATTTTTGAAAATTTTCTCCTTCAGCTATTTTTTATATGTTAAATTAGAGATAAAGACTTGAATATTAAGAAAATTATATATATAAAAAATTATGTTATATTGAGTTATTTCAATTTATTTTGGGTTGGGGATGGTATTTTGAAATTTATGATATAAGAAAAAGCATTTCGAAAAAGTTTAGTTAAATTTACTATTGATTATAACTACAAAGAGATAATTAGAGTAGTCTATAAGTAAATTTATTAATATATTGAGGATAAAATTGATTACTTATTAATGAGTAAGAAAATTTTAATTTAAAATATAATTTAATAACAAGATAGTTTAAACAAAAATAATATTAGATCTCTCCAGATTGTTTCAAGAATATGTTATTTATGAGAGATTCAGAAAGAGATAAATAATTTTGAAAGTAAATAATGATTGTTTTAGAAAATATATTTAAAGAATTTATCATTTTTTATTTGAAAAGTAAAACAAATTAAAAAGAAAGAAAACTTATTCAATCACAACAATAAATTATTGAATTAGAACAATAACTAACGTTAAAGTTAGAGGATAAAATTTATGAATAATTAATTGCATATGTTTAGTGTTATTTAAGTTTTTATAGAAAATCCTAATAGCCTAAATTTTTTGCTTAAACAAATACAAGAACTCTTTAATGTCGAGAATAAAGTTACTTATAATATTGTAACTAACAACGGATTACTTAAAAAAACTACCTTAAAATTAAAAAAATTCCCTATCTATCTCTCAAATTTTCAAATTTGACACTTAACCAATAGTAAAAACTGTTTAATTGTTTTGGATTGTGATATTTTTAAATATAAAAATTAATTTAAAACAATAAAGCTCTTTTTTCTATTTCTTTTTATTGTGATTGCTTACTTTTTTTGTTACTTTAACTCATCCAAAGAATTAAAAATAGAAAATAATTTAACTCTTTTCAAATTTTGTAAAAATTAAAATTCATTCAATTTCTTATAAATATAATTGCAAAATTTGTTAAATTAAATAACTAAAGGAATCAATTAAAAGAAATTGGAAAAGCTTAACTTAAAATGGTATTTCACCTTATATTAATTAATACTTTCCTTTTAATTTAATTTCTATTTAAATTTTTGATCAACAAAAAAAACAAAACTCCCTTTTTTATATTTTAGATTAATAAAATATTTCAAGAATATTTTTAATCTATTATTTATTTTTAATTTTAATTTTAGAAATATTATTCTTTAGTTTGAAGTTGCTAAGTTTGTAAAAATATTTGGGATTTAAGTATATTAGGTTTATAATTAATTGTAATAAATAATAATACTAACATCAAAAGAATGTTATGTAATTTTAAAGGCTTCTTGTAAATTATATATATTTTTTGCTATTAATCAAAATGCTCCTTCCTTATAAATTAAAATCTATCCTAAAAATAATTTAGTAAATAACCTATTTAGCTGACAGTTAATAAGCCATTTTAAAAGATTTAATCAAAAATTAGTTTTAGCTTTTAAAATAAAATTAATTTATCGCTACTAATAAAATAGGTAGAATTATTTATTTTTTTATTAAAAATAATTTTAGTTTAGAATTTTTTTTGTTTAGGATTTAAGAGAAAATATTTTAATTTGAATTAGATAGCGATTCTATTATATAAATGAAATAGATAATATTATTATTAATATTAAATTTAACCATTATCAACTAGCTATAAATAGTAAAGATATTAGTATATTTGTAGATTAGTGAGTAGGTACTTTAATTAATTGAAAAGATATTCTGATAAGAATAATCTTTTAAAAATCAAAATATCACTAAGATCTTTAGTGTTTTTTGCTTTTGCTCTCTATTTAATTGTATCTAAAAAACATACAGTAAAACTGTCAAATTAGGAGCTAGTTAAAATTGGACAAAAGTTTTGATCCCAAATTTAACTTTTTCATTAGAAAAACTGTCAATAAGATTTGAAATATTTACATTTTGGGAAAAATATTTGGTTCTATAGGTGCGTAGTATAAAAAAGCTTCACTTTAAAAGTATATTTTAAGATTAATGTAAAGAGGATCTTTGATTAGATTAAATTGTCAAATAAAAAATTTACTTTATTAAAAACTATACAACACATTCATTTAATAACAATATTTATTAATTAATAGGACTTTTGGTCTGTTTTTCCTTTTACGCTATTTTACATAATAAAGAGAAAATTTATTAGTAAATTTAAATAATATTACATAATAGATTCTTTATATAATTCAATACATAATAAGCAATAACTAAACAATATTTACATTTATCAACAAATAAAATAAGTAGCTGATATCTTTTACTAATACTTTGATTTTCAAGTGCGATTTATATGTAATATATTTTTATTCACAAAAACTTAAAAAAACTTATTAATATTAAATTTAAAAGGTTTTATTTGTAATAAATAAATATATTTAAAGTTAATTTATTTTAAAAGCCACTAAGTAATACATATATCTATATACGCATTCATTGTTGTATAATTATAAATACTCAGCAATAAATTTTATATTATAAAAATCTATGTTAATATATTTTAGCATAAGAAAATGGTTGTTTTAGATAATTAGTTTATAAAATATATTACCAATTTAAAAAGATACTCTTTATATTGATTGCTATCTTATCCTTAATTAATAAAAATCTAAAAATAGAAAAGTTGTTAGTATATTAGAAAATTAATTAAGATTTCTTCTTGATTTTTAACCAGTTTCTCTTGATAGGTCTTTTGCTATAATTTCTTTTATAATTAAGCTGATTTTCCTCTCTTTATATAGAAGAAACAAAGTGATTTTGATATCTATAAATTTTACATCTCTATAAAAACATCTGTTTTTAGTATAAAAGCAAACCCCTCAGCCTACTTTAAGTAAGTCAGTACCCCAGTTAACAACCCCCGTCAGATAACAAAAGTGAATAGCCAAATGTCTAAGAAAGTTCAAAACTAGTTAATCGAAACTATCTCAAGCAAAGTATCATAAGATTGCTAAATTCAAAAACCAGCAATTAAGGAATTAGTCAAGTTGATGTTCAGTTAGAAAAAATACTTCAAAAATTTTGAGTACTTAAGCAATGGCGCTTATGCTCTTATCTTAAAGGCAGATAATTCTTAACAGAATCGCAAAGTAGCTCTCAAATTCTTAGGGAGCTCAAACCAAAAGGACTAGAATGGAATCGAATCTTTGAAAAAGGAGTATGAAATGCTTCAAAAGTTTAGCTAATCAGAATGTTTAGTAAACGTTTATGATTGCTTCTATTTAATGGAAGAAAAAGAAGATGAAGATGATGATGGAAACGATATTATCGTTTAAACTGAAGCCAAATCCTACTTTGTAATGGAAATGGAGCTTTGCGAGAGTAAAAAAAATCACATATTTTTCATCCATTTTTTTTTTATTTCATTTTTAAAAAGTGTGTAAAGATACATAATATAAGATGTATTTAGACTTTTTATTGACCTAATATGGCTTAATATCTCCATTTTAAAAAAAGATAATTTTATTTTTTTTCTAAGTCTTTTTAAGGGTGATTAAAAAAAATTAGATTTGCGCTTAACAAATCTAATTAATTTAGAAAATGTAATAGAAATTATTTAATTTAATATAAAAATGTTAATTTTAATTAATTTTTTAGGATTCCCCACAATGAAGATTTTTTCATTTATTTTTAACAAATTTTGTAAAATTTCTTAATTAAATCTTCTAGAAGATTAATTCATCAAAATTTTATAATCTATTTTCCCAATATAACAATTTAATTTTTTATTAAACAATTTTCATAAATTTTTGTTTTTATTTTTTACTATTTTAAATAATAAATTAATAAAAATTATTTGATTTTATAATTTGATTTAATTATTAATTGAAAAATTAATTAATTTTTAACAATCCTCAAAAAATTTATTATTTAACTTAGAAATAATATTTATATTATATTAACTAAATTAATATAAAATTAAAAAAGAGCTAAAGATAGTATTTAGTAAATTAATAGCTAAGATTATTTAATTCACTTCATTTTAAAAAATTAAATTAATAAAATAATTAAATTTAAATAAGAAAACCTAAAATTGAAGAAAAATAGGTTTTGGTTAAGAAATATATTATTGTTTTCCTAACTGATCATATAAAAATATAAACTTAATAATCAATAATTTTCAAATTAAAGAATTTAAATTTTATTTTCTTCTTTAATTAATTTTTTGTATTAAATTAACCAAAACTTCCTTAATAATAAAATTAATAATACAATTAAAACTTATTTCAAATTGTTTAATTCAAAAAATAAATTTTTAAAAAATTAAAAAATCTTAATAGCTGAACAAAATAAATTATTTCAATAAAGATTAAATAGGTAATAGTTAAATTTCTATCATTTGAGGGTAAATTAAATAACTTTAATTGTATAATTAATCTATTTGAACAGAAATTAAATTAATTTTAAACTAATTAAATGTGTTGAAACAAATAAATAATTTCTAATAATTTCAATTATTTAGTTAAATAAATATATTAATTCTAAAATTACTAAAAAATAATATATTAATTTTTATAAAATAGGTATAAAAAACAATATTCTTAATAAATTATTTAATTGAACTCTTTCATTTCTATATAATATAGAAAGGAAGAAATTCAATTTAAAATTTTTATTTTTTCTCTAAGTTTTAAAAAATAAAATATTTGTAAATAAACAGAAAAAAAATAATTTAAAGATTTAAAAACAAAAATTTATTTAATTTTTATTTTAAAATTCTAATCATAATTAATTTAATTTTACAATTAACTAGATAATCTCAAATAATTCTTTGATATCCTTAGAAAATAACAAGTTCCACCTCCGAAAGAGATGAAGGAAATAATAGCCATACAAATGATAGAAGGGTTGAATAACCTTCATGTCAAAAATATTATGCACAGGGATATCAAGCCTTAAAATTTCCTTGTTTGTCCTTCTAATGAATATGGTTTCTCAATCAAACTTTGTACTTAATTATTTTTATATTATTTAATTTTTAATAAATATCTTTTAAATTTAGGTGATCTAGGTTTTGCATCAGCTGTGTCTAGATCAAAAAGCTTTGTGTCTAAGGTTAAAAATTTAATTATTATTTTAATTGGTTTCAATATTTTTTATAATTTTCAGAAAGGAACTGATGCATATTTTGCTCCAGAAGTGGAAGCAGGATAATCTAGAATTCAGGTTTTTAATAATAGCTTTGTATTATTTTTCAAGTTTATTTTAATTAAATAGTCAGACCTCTTTTCACTAGGACTCATTTTATTAGAGCTTGACAATCTCAAAGCTCTAAATGAGAATTGGATAGATACCAATATTAAATATTATCTATTCAACGGAGAAGAAATACCTAAAGAAAAATATTAGATAGATAAGAATTCAAATATATACAAAATAGCTAAAATATGCTTAAGACATAGGTATTTAGACAGGACTACAGCAGGAGAATTACTATCCTCTCTCATCTAAATGCATGGTTAACCATTGAAATTTTTATTGACTTCTATGATACTAGAGGTAATATATTATTTCATAATTTACTTAAAAACAGTCTCAAAATTTAAACTTATTAAAAAAACCCAAAAACAATTAAATTTTATTGAGACTCTTAAAAAAAGCATGAAAAATAATTAATAAAAATATTTTATATTTTTTTTTAAAATTGGATGAAATAAAAATATTTTTAAGAGCATGATAAAATAAAAATAGTTTATATTTCTTATAATTTTTAACTTTAAAAAAAAACCTTATCATTTTTAAACTATCAAATAAAATTTATGCAAATTGTAAAACAAACTTATTATTTCTAAATTAATGTTTTTCCTAGCAAATTAATATAAAAAGAAATTTTACTTAATAATTACTTTTTTTATTACATTAATCTTTTAAAATAAAAAAAATTGATTTTAATTTATCTGGAATATTTGAATTGAAAAAATAATTTTATAATAAAAGGAATAAATACCTGAATAGGCACAGCAAATATTTGATAGTATGAATCAACAGTAAAAACAAACGGTAAATAATTATTATATTTAGTTTAAATTTTTGTAAAAAGTTATATATTAAATTTAAATTATCTCATAATTAATTTTAAAGCATAATTAATTTGACAAAGATGCTTAGTTTATCCTAGAGAACACCAATAAGAAAATTTTAGAAAAAGATAAGAAAGCACAATTTAAAAAAGTGGAAGTATTATCTAATCTGCTGAAAAGTCTCTATGAACATAAAAAATATTCGGATAATTTTCAAATTCTAAATTTTGGAGGCTTTGGAATGGTATTAGCTACTAAAAAAGTAAAACTTGATAACAAAGAAATAGTGTTAAAAATACAAAAAATAGAAGATGAATAACAAATCTAAAATGAAATTAGTATTATGTAGAAATTAAAAGAGCCACTAGTCGTATAGCTTTATGATAGCTATATAATAGAAAGTAATATAGGGCCTGATAGATACTCAGTTTTTGAGTTAGAAAAATGTTCATGTAATTTATTAAATTATTTACATTAATTTTAAAATAGGCTTCAATTAAACTAATTATAAAGATATTTTTGTCATATAAATACACAATTTTAAGTAAATAAACAAATAAATAAATATATTTTCAATAATTATAATTTAATTTATTTTTTAAATTTTTAAAAAATAAAAAATTTTATTTATAAATTGTAAAAATAATTATTTTTAATTAAAATAAACATTATATTTTCATAAAAATTATTCAATTAATTTATTTTGAAGAATTTTTAATATTAAAATGATTTTTTTACAAATAAATTTCATTTCATTTTGCTGTTTATCTAAAGGTTCATTAGATGAATATCTTGAAAGATAAAACAAAGAAGGAAAATTGAATGAAGATAATAAATTTTAAATAGCGATCTAAATTATAGATTCTGTTAATTATATTCATTAATTTAATATCATTCATAGAGATATTAAACCAGAAAATTTTTTGGTTTATTTAGATGGAAAATAACCAGAAATTAAATTATGTAAATTATTTTTATTCATAAAATATTTTTCATTATCTTTTAATTTTAAGGTGATTTCGGCTTATCTGCTTAGATTCCAGATAATAAAAATTCAATTCAAACTATAGATGTAGATTTTTAATTCTATATATTAAATATTAAAAAAAATTTAATAGCACATAGGAAATTTAGGATATTCAGCACCTGAAATATTAAATAAAAAGGATAATGAACTTAAGATTTATACAAAGAAAGTACTTTTTTTTAAGAAAATGTTAATTTTAAATTAATTATTTATTTTAGTCTGATTCATATTCAGTAGGATTGTTGCTAGCTTTATTAGATAATTATTAAGATCTGAAAGAAAATACAGTTTCAAATTTCGCATTAATGACACAAAAGCAGTTAGATAAACCTTTCGAAAAATCTAATATTTTAATTAACAAAAATTCAGAAATTTATAAATTTATTAACCTTCTTGTTGTTTCTGATAGTGTTTAGAGGGCATCTTTGTATGATATAGTTGAATAAAGCGATGCAAAATTCATTTCTAATTCAAAAGAAATGAAATAAATAGTACAAAAAACACTTTCGATACAAAATGATAAAAAAATAGAGCAAAATATGATTATAGAAATTAGATCTATAAATTATTTGAGTATAGCTTAAAATTACAATGTTGTCATAATAGATTTAATGTAATATTTTCATTTTAATTTAGGCTTTTAATATTTTATTAATGATCCATTTTACTCTTTTTATAATTATTTTATTGATAATCTGTTCTCCTTAACAATTAGTTTATTAAGGCAAGTAAATTATATTTATATT